AGAGAGAGAGAGAGAGAGAGAGAGAGAGAGAGAGAGAGAAGTACAAAGAATAAAAAAAGGAGATATTATTATAACATTAAGGGGGATGCTGGAGCGTCCTGTTTTATCATTACTTAGTTAAAGACTCGTTTCTCTTAATTGCATTATTGGCTTCTGCAGTCGACTCGTTACAACATGTGCACATGTTGATGATAACGAAACTGTAAGTCTTTAATTTTTTTCCGTTTTTCGTATTGAAATGTAGCTAGCACCCTCTGTTTTTGTCGATACTTTAGTTATGCAGAAGGATTTTTCCGTAAATGCAATTAAGAGAAACGAGTCTTTAACTAACAATAAGTAATGATAAAACAGGACACTCCAGCATCCCCTTAAAATTATGAGTAAGTACGATATAATATTAATATTTTTTAATATGTATAACTTGTAACTAAAGTTTAAAATGTAAATTTACAAAAAGCAGTGAAATCCCTTAAAAAAACCTTTTTTAAATATATGTATATAATGTAGACTGTTTTTTTAACACTACGATATTTAAATAACAGGTGATGCTTTTTAAAACTTCTGCTTCAAATTTTGTAAGATAATTGACGTTCATAAAGACAATAACGAGGGTTTAATTACGAATATCTTGGCAACGCAAGAAATTATTCATCAGATTTTGATCAAAGCTGGTGCTGATTTTTGCTGAATAATTCACCATTATTGCACCGATTCGAGATTGCGGAGAGATTATGTCAACATTTAGTCGTTAGAGTGGCCCGGTGATGTTATGACGGCCGATCGAAAAAAAAAATCGTTTAACTAAGAAATGTATGGTGGATGCGCTGACAGAACTGGACTTAAGAAGATGGCAGACGGAGAACGCACAAACTGACGACGAAAGATGGATGGCAGCAGAAAAAAGCAACTAAGCAGCGACGTCTGCCGTTGAAAAGCTAAGAATCTTGACTCGACTGAGCTCGAATGCTCGTAAAAAAGCCCCGCGGAATGTTCTGCGGAAATCCTTTGGTCGCGCCATTAACGGTGATTTCTCCTAAGCCCCGCTGATCTTCTTCCCTCGTATTCTTTCGTCGATGTCAACTCCATTTCGACTCATCAAGTCGTCACTCATCGATCACTTGAGATTGTTGAGACGTGGCACTCCTTGTACGTCAAAGTTCCACATTTACCCCGCATTTATTCAGACTTATAGCAGTATTTAAGTAAATTCTATTCTGTACTTTAATTCCGACCAGATCTGCAGTATCATCACATTGTCATAAATAGTCTTAAGTATAATAAACATTTCGCGCGTAATTTTAAGTCTAGAATCAATACAACATATTTTGAATGTAATCGTTAAGGTTTAAACTTAAATATTGATTATTTTAACTAAATTATTGTATAAAATATAACGGGATCTTATATAATACTACCTTCTCATCTATATAGATCATTTATCATGAAAATAATTCTGTTTATAAAATTTTCTTTTTGCATCATTGTCATCAATGTTTAAGCATTCTACATCATTATTTTTATGAAACAACAAAATTATTTTCAGATTTACAACTAACTAAATTTTTTAATATTTCAGCAAAACCGCGTTCTTTCCATGTAACGATATTCCCTCTGTGTATATATAATCTACATTTCTCAAATATATCTTCTTGTACATTTGAAATATTTTTTGTGTATTTTATATTTTAAACGGTTATATGCGATGCATAAAGAGATATAGTAATGCGCAGGCAGACGGATGGAGATTATTTCCGATTGTGTCGCAACAGGAAGCCGAGTAGCTTCAATCGAGGTGGAATCACGTTGCTTGGTGCTCTGCTTAGTGAATTTTCATAACACTGCCGCTGCCATAACGCGACGACGGTCTATGCACCGTAAAGAGATCTCGATCTGGACTCCCTAGCTCTTATACCAGCACTGAACTCGCGGCGACATTCGTCGCGGCCAGCATAGATCCGGAGATGAACGGCTGCCTCAGAAGGGGTGCACCCACGACAATCGCTTGAATAATAAATGTGCGCGCGTGCATTTTCACAATTTCGGCAACGTGAAGCATTTTGCAGCAATTCTCTCTCTCTCTCTCTCTCTCTCTCTCTCTCTCTCTCTCTCTCTCTCTCTTGTGCTCGATTTAGCGTATTTAGGACTTCTCGTCGGTATCGTATTTTCTTTGACAATTCTGGATGAGAAAGAGAGCCAGCGAATCCTCAAATCCAGCAAAGAATCCTGCGATAGATCTCTCTTTCTGTCTTCCTATCTTGCGAAAAGACTAATGGACTGAGAGAAAAAGTAAGTAACTGGATTATCTACGGACGGACTGCAACTGTTACTGATGCAGCTGCAGCGATCACGGAACATAACGTTGCTGCAGGGAGGGGTGCAGCTGCGACAGCGGTGGTTTTAACCGTGATGCCTGGGTCCCGTTGCGCGACCGCGTTAAAACCGTTGATAGGATCGGCCGCGTAGGAGAAGGTGCGCCGAGAACCGTCGAGCTCGATTAAGCTGTAACTTCCGTGAACTACATCGCCGTTGTGAGTCTCTTCCTGCGTCTTGTTGTCGCCTTGAAAAGTATAAGAGTATGAGTTCGTAATACTTCGGCCGAAGTTCCATGCGACGTTCTCACGGAAAAGCGCGCATTGTCCCAACCGGTGTTTTAATTTAAGTTCCCGACGAAGTTCCTGAATTCTAATTCGATGGAACGAACCCGATGAACAGATACAACAAATAGCTGAATTAAGAGATATCGACAGGAATCCATTCTGCGAATTTGGAACGTTCGGAAATGTCGTTTCGGCTTAACTTTCTCTTAATTACGAAGTCCGTCTTAAATCCGAACATTTTCTTATCTAATTAAAATTTGATTTTACTATTATATATATTGCTACTACTACATTGTTTGCAATTTTTATTCAAAGTGATTAATTTTTAATTATTTGTAATAAGTTTAATAAATATGAACATTTTATAATATAATCAGTCACCCTCGTAAAAAAGTACTACTAGTGTCACTGTTGGTACGAGTAGTAATCAGTAGTAACACTACTCGTGACTAGTAGTGTAGAAGTGCAGTATTAAATTTACTACTAGTGGCACTAATAGTATCACTACTGGGAGTAGTGCAATCTACAGTAATCGCATTCCCGCACTTGCGGAAATTATTTTAATACAAATTTGAATTAAAAAATCGGTTTTAATCAATTATTTTAATCATTTCGTATTTTTAATCAAAATTTTTTTATATCTTATTTTTTTTTTTTTGCGAATTTACTTCTGCATATTGCACTAATAGTGACACTAGTAGTACTTTTTTACGAGGGCATGCTCTCTCTCTACTTTAGATAGTTATACATTTAAATCAAAGCGTGTAATAATTACAATTAAATATATATATATGATATTTCCAAATAAAAAATAGACAAAGAAACGATCCAGCGCAGAAAAAATACACAAGTGAAGTAAATTAAAATGTTTGATACTCATCAATATAATATAATTAAACATTTGAACTTATTATTTATTTTAACTTTCGTCTTTAATTTTCGCTATTCGCTGTTCTATCTGTATCAAATACGTATATAAGTCTTGATCTTATTTTTATTCTTTATGTTATTCTTTATTAGATTAAATTGTATTTTGTCTTCACCTTTATCAAACGTTTATTGTATTATCACAAAAATGTATAAGTATAAATATATTTGTTGTATAAAATGTACATACAGTGTATTGAGTGTCCGCAGTGTATTGAGTTGGTCCGTGAATTCACCAAGCCCAAATGATTGTGTGGATCAGTCATTCCCTGTGGGATACAAATTATATTGCAGAAATGCACCAGTGAAACCATCTGCCACGCTATACCAAAGCTATACCGAGGAGAATCGTAGTTTTCAGCTTTGATAATCGTCGTAGCTAGTTGTTATGACGGCTATTATAGTTGCACCCAACGATCCCGACGCGGACGACAGCCAATAAAATATTTGATAATCTACGCATTAAGAAGAAAATATTAAATATATTGTCGATATTAAACAAAATGTCTTTGAGACTGTCATGTGTACACAACACAACTAAAAAAGGAATGCTTTTCAGGAGATCTGGGTTTCGAATTCTGGCTGAGATATTTTTTGCAATAAAATATTATTTACAGTTTTTGATGCTTATTAACATCAAATTATTAACATCTTTCTAACGATGCCTATTATACAATAGACTTAAATAAATGTGACTTTAATAAATATTTTATATTCCTAACAATATATGAATTCTTGTAATTTCTACAGGATGACAAGAAGGATTGGGATGAAAAGCTAAGTTCTGACGAGAAATACTTTATTTCTCATGTCTTAGCGTTCTTTGCCGCATTCGGTGGTATTGTTAATGAGAATCTGATTGAGAGATTCAGTCAAGAGGTGAAAATTACCGAAGAATATATTTTGGCTGAAAAAACGAGGAATTAAATTGTTCTCAGATTTGTGGGTGAACCTCAGTCAGATGTTAGAGACATATATCTACTAATATATACTGACATATGCTGATGTATAGGGACAGTTTAACGCCGAATCCGAACGGCGCTTATGATCATAGATCTTTATGATTACCAGGTGGAGCCATTTTTCGGCTCATTTTTGGGCGCATGTGGGATTGAACTCGGGTCTACAGATCGCGAGTTAATCGCACTGAGCGGTGAGCCACTCGACGTCACACACTCATGTGGATAATATATAGATACCTATCAGAGAGGAAAAGCTTCCCAATTACAGGCTGTGCGTAAAATATAATAATTTTTATACGTTTATAATTTTCTAATGTCCGTTTTTCTATCAATGTAGTTTAATTTTAATCTTCATGGTTTAACTAACTCTTCATCTTTTTCTAGTTCTAAGAATTAAAAAATGATGAAAAGTAAGTTGAACCGAGATTAAAGTTAATTATTTATATTGGTAGAAACAAGCATAAGTGATATATAGCGAACGCAAAGGTTACAAAAATAATAGTACATTTACAACAATCACGTATACTACATAATTATAAACAAAATATTCTTTATATTTTATTTGTATTTATATATATAGTATATGTAATTGTTCTAAACGTACTATTATATATTTTTGTAACTTTTGCGTTCGCTATATCACACCAAATATAAGTACCGAAATTATAAGTACAAAAAAATGTATAAATAGATACATATTTTAATAAATATTTTTGGAAATTATATTATATATTTGACACCAATTTTGTACATAGAGTAGACAATTTACAGTAACACACTTTTTGCAGTAGGTAACAAGATATAAAAAAATATTGGATTACTTGCTTTAGCTCTATCCATTATCACCTAAAAGTAGACTTATAAAATACAAAAAGAATAATTACATTTCTATATTAAGTAGCTTTAAACTTTTACTTTCTTTAAAAGTGTTTCAGATTTATACCTTTTATCCTATTCTCCCTGAAAAATAGTTTTAAAGAAATGCGATCAAAGCAAGTAATTCAATCTATTCATAGAACGAGGAGAATCAGCATCTAAATGTATTGCATTATCTGGCTCCACGTCATTGACGGAAATATTGTCATTTGGGCAATTGATGTGGATGTGTATGGTTTCGGTACTCGTTAAATGACTATATTATACTTGCCGGATTCAGCAAGATTTATATAAAATGAGTTTCCGCTATCTCCATCCTGTGGATGCTGTATCTATATTTTGTATACTCACTCTCATAGGGATCACTACGTATTTTACATTACTATAAGGATTACAGATATAGAGTAACGTGCATTGTATGCTAACGTGAATTGCGATCCATATGATATTACATACCAATGAAAACTTCAAAGGCGTGTTAAACTGAAGAGTACCTACAAATATCTGATAAAAAAAGCTTCCTATTAAATTTAAAATTCTCTCAAGAGAACTAATATTTCCGTAGTAAAATTAAAACCGCAGAAATGAAATTTCTGTAAAATAAGGACAAATTTTTGTGTTATATTTATTTTTGCAATGTCGATATCATTTCTACACGTTCTATTAAAATAATTAATTTTTTGCTATACATATACGAAATAACGAGAAAAAATAGTAGAGAGAAGAGGATACAGCTATATAAAAATTCATATATACCTATATCTTATAATGACAAAATATAATAATAAAAGATATAATTTGCATTTTAATTGTAAAAATCTTTAATTTTTTGTTTCAGAAAAATAATTATAGTTGTTATTTATATGAAGAATTTGTCGAAGCTTAAAACTTTATAAATACATATTCTTAATGTCTAAAATTAAAAATTTAATTAATACGAAGCCTATAACAGTCTAGCTGGATCTTCGTGTGTTGCTTATATATAATTTCACGTGAATTTATATATACACTGATATATGTAATCTTTCTAAACTGCGCGCCGAACAATTGTCGATCTTAAAACGCAATTTATATCAACAATATGACGTATGTAGTTCCTTTACGTTTTGTTTTCTGTAGGTTCTACAGATTTAAATCAAGCCAATTATTTTTCATGTTCATTGAAGGTGTGTCTACCATAATTTAAAGAAATTTTAGGTGCAATCAGATTGACATTACAGATGCTTCAAAACGTTTGATTAATCAAAAAAAGAAAAAATTTTATTAATTAATTAATAAAAAAAAACATTTGTAGCCCCTCAAGTAAACCGTAGTCTCTGTGGACCAGATATCAAAGCTAAAACAGCAGCTAAAAGCACTATACAAGCGCACATATACTATTACTTTTTTTTTACCATGTTACATTTTTGCGTCTTAAAAAAAATAGTGTATTGTAGTTAGATATACTCATTTTGTATGATGTAGGTAAGTTCTAATGTTTAGCCTGTAATAATGTGCAATAATTATTACAATAAAATGTATTTGTTGATATTGCCATGTTACCTTTTACGAAAAACATCGATCTGTGATAACGATTGTGATTAAATCAGAGAAGGAAGGGTATAATAGAACACGACACAGAGCTGTATGGTTAAAGAAACACCATTCTGATACTTTACATATTCTTTTGACAGTGATCTCTTGCACATACCACACCGACATCCGTATATTCGTGTCTTCTTCTCGGTCTTTAGTGCGAAAACATATTTATTCCAACTACAACGGTCAGTTATACAACGGGCGCATTGACGTATCTTAAAAGTGTAGATCCAGAGCGTTTGTAAAAAAAAAAAAAAAACTGCACAAAACTTATTTAGACCTGCACATGAGTGTACCTTCATAAATTACACATCTACAAGTCGTGCGATGTCGCCGCATCGTCAGTCCAAATACTTCGTAAGCCTTATCAACGCAGCGTGCAACAAAACGTCGGTTCTTTCTTCGAATCCTCCAAAATGTGTCTGCTTGATATATCACACCATACGGCCGTCAGTTAACAGAAGGATCAGAAACCATTATTTCTGTTTCAGGAAAACCATATCTGTTCTCATATGATTGCTATGTATCTAAATAGCTATGCTTAATTTAGGCATGAGGACGCAAGCAACAGCAGGATCCGTGTCCCGATCATGACACACCACAACTTCAAGTTAGAACGTACGAGGAAAAATTACATGTACGTACCAATATCGTATATACATTTTTCTTTACATTTGCATGATACGCGACAGTTGCATAAAAATGAAAAATAGAAATAAAACGGGTCGAGAGTATATTTCTTATTAAAATATTATGTGCGCGTGTGTCTGTTATATTTTTTTGTCACTGTTTCATCATCATTATTATTATTATTATTATTAATATTAGCATCATACAACACTTCTCTGTAAGTGAAAAAGAAACAAAAATCATACGTTGAGAAGTTGTTAATAAGATTAATCGCATTACGTAATATTTATAAGAGGCAGCGAGTCATATCTTCGTTACATTAATCGCATCTAAAAGTATATATGTAAAAAAAATGGAAATGTCTTTTTTAGAGTTTCTCTTTTCTACCCGTCACCTAACAGGCCACACTTCGCGTAATGGAATATATTTTACTTAACTATTCACACGTATAGCTTTCTCTCTTTTTTTTTTTATTTTAACGCTGTTAGGTATGTTCCCCCGAACTCTTAAATCTCTCATTAGTTAATTATAATTAATAATTATATAAAATTTTATATAATTATGTAATTATAATTATAATAATTATTTACTTATCTATTAATTGATCATTAATCGATAAATCGATTCGCAAACACGTAACAAAAGCATATCGCACATTAATCTTAGAGCGGACACGTGTGTGATCTCAGCCTTTTCATATTTAATTTCGTGTTCGACAAACGGCATAAAATATGTATTGACACGTGAAAGATATATTTAAAAGAATTTCATAAACATATTATTTTGTAAAAGTGTCTGAAAAAATTGCACTTTTCAACGTCCGCTCTAGGATTAAACTTGTGCATAATTCTAAACTACATTTGATTACTGTCGTATTTCTTCACAAAGCAACGAGATATTCCGTTTCGCAACAACATAAATATATCAAAATATGTTTAAAAGTAATATCAAGCAGATTTGTAAAGATCAATATTTACGGTTATACAATTTAAGTTACTCAATCGGTGTATAATAAACAAAATAAAAAAATAACATTTAATTTGATTTTTACAAATATATAACTAATCGAAAATATGTATGGTGCAATTTGCGAAACGGATAACAAAAATGAATTTGTTCACAATATGTATCATCTAATCTAAAATCGCACAAGATCCTTCTTTTTTTAACAAATGCGAATTAGACGTTAATTACATCATATGAATACAATAAGTCAAGCAAAAAATATTAAATAAATTAATATCTCCGCGTATGTGTATAATTTGCTCAAAAATTTTTATCGAAAAAACCCTCGATAACTTACGCGGTATATAAAGCATGCAAAGATATGCACGCAAAATGAGCAAACTATATTAAATTATATAAAAGTAATTACACAGGCATCTAGTAATATATATCAAACATAAGCGTAATTATTATACATATAACGCTGATTTCTTTTTTTTTTTACGCTAAAATCTTTTTAGTAAGTATTGTCCTTATCGAGAAAGTCGGCAAAGATATTGTGCTATATCTCACCTAAATAATTTTCAATTATATAGCATTACCCTGCACTTTTATGATAATACCAGATCATGGTATTTATAACAATAATTTATTTCACTGTTATGTGTTATCATAAACTAGATAGATGCTTCAAGCACTTTCTAACGCGGGCATGAAATAAATAAATTTTCCCAACTGTAATCCCTTACTCTAAGAGAGTATAAAATACTCTCATTGGTATCTGTAATTTTAATGGCATTCAGTACTTGGCGGAATTCAACGAAATATAGATGATAAAATCCTAGATTCATCATTTGTCTTCTATAAAATTTTGATCCGGCATTTAATTTAGCATTCACATATTACACGCGCTCCTCTCCTCGACATACAACAATAATAATCTACTCATACATATGTTCCCTGCAATACCGATCATTCTTAAATTTGGCGGGGATGTTTTATATTTATCTTTATATTCTCGGGTATAATACGTTGACTTTACAAGCTATAGGTATCCGTTAATAAGCTATTACAATCGGAACGGCGCGCGCTGTTCGATCGGTGTAGGTTTTCCCTTTCGTATGTTCGGGGTCGTTCCCGACACCGACGTGTCGGAAGCTCCGGAGGGTTTCCTCGATAATTTTGAAGACGGCGGTAGCGGTGTGCTGGATCCACTGGACGGTGTACGTACCCTGGAACAAACAATCATATATGTGCACATGTGTAATCAAACGTTACCTTTCAATACAGAAGCTCAACAAACCGATAATGAATCCTTTCTTTAGGCATATTTTGAATGAACGAATGAAGGAGAGAAAAGAAAATTTTTGAATTAATATTGATGTTTACCTAGCTTGCTTAATAGCTGTTGGTATATTAGTTGCTGAATTGGTACACAGGGAACTGCTCCTAACGTTGTGAAAGAAAACGTTAGTTGAGGAATTTAAATATAAAACTGTTATAATCAAAACTTTTAATGGATATGGAAGCTAATGTCGATTAATGATAATTTATGAATACTTTGGCTGCATTATCTACATAATGAATAAAACAAAAAGCTGCAGGAATTATTAGCTGAAAAAAAGAAACGAGCTGTTTTTGTCAAATGAAATAAAGTCATGCTATGTAATATACAATTTCAAGGTGAAATTTTAATGAGAGATAAACACAACAAACAGGTTAAATAATAATGCTAGTTGCGAGAAGTTCTACAATGCTTGAAAAGTAAAACGTTTAATTAAATGTGAGAAGAAACAGAAAGCGGGTTACATTGTAAAAGCGCCAGTTCAGCCATACCCAGTGGAATCAGTAGAAATCGTAGAATGGTTGCTTTGTGTTGAATGAGTCGACATATTGCTGGTGGTCGACTGAGGAGATTTTATATCCACCCCCACATATACGGGTATCCTAGAGCGGCTAAGACATTACCATCGAAACGTTATTTTTAATTGCACGGACGATATGTTATATAAGCGTACGATATCAAACTCTTTTTGCGTTGTATGAGAATTAGAAACGAAGTAAAAAACGAAGAAAGGAAAAATCAGGAAAAATACAATAAGGATCGAAATAAAATAACAATGAAACAAATAAGCACATATGTATCGCCGTCACCGTGACTAAAATTATTTCTTATAAAAAGCGCCCCACACCACAAAACCCTTCATTTTTTACTTTGCATTTTGCTTTTTGCTTTTTATTTTAAGTGCTTCACGAAGATAAAGTGCATAACGCAAAGCAAGAGCTGCAGAATTACTATCCCGAACCAGTTTTCATGAAATTGCCGATTCGTTAATTTGCTTTACCTGATAGGTGTTCCGACACCAGTCAGGGTTGGAATGCTCGAAGCTCTATGGATTGAGCCAAACCTAAAAAATGTTATTAACCATATCTGTTAATGATTATTAAAATACTATACCCGATCGATTAGTCGTGTAAATGTTTTGCGGTTAATACAAGATGTAGTGAAAGATCTGATCAATTAATATGTAATGCATCGTCCAACCCGTCTTTGTTCCTTTATATTCAAACACTTTTCACGGTATTTTATGTGATACGTATCGTATGTAATGTACGCAGTGGATTGTAATGTAAGAAAAAATAGAACAAATTAAATAAAACAAAATATAAAGGGATTAACTAAATAGAAACTAATAAAAAACTAAAAGAAATAGTTGATTTTTTCGGGCTAACATATCGAATATTTCTCGAATAATCAGTCAGTTTGACGTTAAGTGAGATACTACTGGTTGATAGTATCGTTAATCTATATGCACACAGTTGTGGTTATACATATCCTGTTTAAGGTACACTAATGCGAGTTAGTCCATGATCTAATTCAAATATGTAAGATGACACATGTTGAGGATTACAAACCTAGAGGGTACTCCGCTGGCGGGGCTGATTAATCCCGTTGGAGTGCGGGGTCTAGAGCTTGATCCGTTCATCGGAGTTGTGAGTTTTCTACCAGATACACTGTTATGTCTACTGGATGTCGGAGTATTACCGGAGCCTACGATGGTCCTTCTCGGAATGCGACTTGGGGTACATGAATCGTCTGCCAAATCAGATATCAGACACAATTTTTCAAACTTGTACGAATAAAAAGGATAGAATTTTACAATTTTCATGTTTGTTAAGTTTTGAATTTCCAATTAATTTTTTTTTTAATTTATCACACAGGATTAAAATGTATGCGACTTTGACAAACACTTTAGTACGTAATTATTGATGAATACAATAATTCACCGTTGTTTTAACTTATATAAGCTTTCTGTCTATTTTTTACTTTGTAAAACAGAATATATCTTTTACTTTGTAAAACAAACTTATACGTACCATCCAATGACTGTGTTGATCCATATCGACTAGGCGGTTTACTTCCTTGTCTTGATGCAGGTCGGCTACTTGGTCTACTAGCTGGTCGGGAAGCAGGTCTTGATGCTGGCCTGCTAGATGGACGGCTACCACCTATAAAGCATTGTATAGTATGATTAATTAATGATAATTACGATAAACTATCCTCATTACTTCATAAGTGATAGTGTTTTTTTAAATATAAATTTGGAATCTTACCGGGCGTCATGGTAGATCTGTAAGGCGTACTAGTTTTTCTAGCTATCTTGAAGGAACTTTCGTTGTCACTAAGGCTGTCAGGCGTACCAGCGCTTAAAGATGAACGCGAAGCTCGCGACTGACCCATAGGTACACTGCGAGCACTACGTTCTCTCACCTAGATAATAAATACAAATTATCTGATAAAGTTGACACGTAAATGCATACAAAAGCAGAAGAAGCTGTCACTATATCTAATTCGTGTCTGATACGACTATCGAATGAGTACGGTTTCGTATTACGCGTTCTCTGCCGCCTAATTATTAGTATTTGCTAATATTAGCTGTGTGCAAGTTACGTTGCGCGCAATAAAACATCCTCCAAGTATTTTTTGAAACTATCGAAGAATAGAAAAAAATCTGCTGCTTGTAATATAGTTCTATCTTTTGTGATTTATTAATAAAAGTACAAAATCAAGCAGTATCACATAAAATAAAAATATATATAGGGTTGCCACAAATTTTTCATCCTAAAATTTCCTGATTTCCAGACAAAATTTTATGATTTTCCCTTACTTTCAATAATACATATTTTGAAATGTTTTTTTTTGTATTTTTATCCTGATTTGAAAATTGTTAAATATTTTGTTGATCGAGCAATTTAACGTAACAGTGTAATTAAATTACTACTAATATTGTTGACACTGCATTTAATTTTAAGTTAATAGTATTTTTGTCTTTATATATCTTTTATGTACGAACATGATTCTTTTGCTCTTCCTCTCGTTCTTTTTTGCTGCTGTACTTAGAATATAAGAAACATAAATCAATGAATACGGTTCCTTTTTTATCAAAACTATGTCCTGTTTACTGTAAAATCTTAATCTGCAATTAAACTTGTCTCTGAGATATTAGAGACCTAGGTAATTGATTTTCAACAATACATATTCATTGTTTATTAAAAATCCTCTTTCCACAAATGCTTAATCATGACTCAGAATAAGGACCTTTTTCACAAAAACATACAAATTCTGGAAATTATCCTGACCCTGAAGCAAGTTTCTCCAGAAATGATCAATTCTTTTATTTTATCGACTGTGACGCTGTGATATAAATAAAACAGACAACGAGCTAAATAGATGTTTTAAATTTCTATACAGCTATTTTATTTTTCGAGAAAAGTTTGCTAAATCCCTGACCTCCTTGACTTGTAGCAATCCTGATATATCTGTATTTATATGAAGTAGATATTACTAAGTTTTTAATATGTTTATAGTAGTACAAAATACACGTGCTTTCTGTAATATTCTAACGTGAAAAAGATATTCTACGAAAAAATATATACGAATAGAATAATTCTAATTTTTAACTTTAATCATTCATTCAAAGTACATAGATAAATACAGCAGCTAAAATATAAAAGCCCTTGTTTCTAGAAATTTAGATCAGTTAAATTAGATCAGTAACTCAATTGTATTATTATTGCTAGAAATTTAACAAGCAACACAAACTTGTGCACAGCCATGACTAGTGAAGATATACCGGTTTGCGGTCCATTACGCTCGTCAAAGCTGTTAAAATGTCAAGATTAAATAATACAAAATGTAAAATAAAAGTTACCAAATTCGGGTAGTAGGTAAAGCAAAGTGTCATGCAAAACTTACCACAAGAAGTTGGGAGAGATATAGTAGCTTATGGTGATTCGAGGTATCTCCGATCAATGCCACTACGCACGCAGCAATACAGGATACGACACATTCGTTATGCATGTCCATGTCCATTTAAAATGACTACATATCTCCGATGCGTTTTTCGTTTTGCTGTACGAATAAACGCATGTCTACTACCGCAAACTTATTTGTAAAAATTTGATTTTAAATCGTTCACAAAGAGAAATTTTATGACCGTTATTGACGATGTTCTTTCAAATACCATATTAAAAGATGCAAAAAATGAAAAATTAATTCTTGATAAAATCGTCGATTTGTTGCTCAATATTTACATTATATTAAAAAATGATAATCAGCGAAAGAGACATTTGATCATGCTCAAAATTGAATAGTCAATCGTTTTCTAGGGTCAAGGGATCAGGAAGTTAAGAGGCGTCCAAATAATTTTTACAAAATCAGACATTCGACGATCAACCAAAAAGAGAATCAAGTCAATGCAGAGTAATGTGCTTTAATGAATATGACGAGATATTTCGCGATGTAACATGCTATGAATCTATCTCGAACAATACCAGATCGCAAAATGGATTCACAACCTTTACAGAAAAATAGGCAGGCATGAGGCGGAGACAAAATGATAAGATACATAATAACGAACCGGAAACTTCTTTTTAAGTCTCTGCTCCTATTTATTTTTTCCTTCACATTATTTTCTCTCTTCATATATTTCTTTTGACATGCATTTATCAACTTCGTTATAGTCGGAAGCATTTATAATACAAAGATCATGAATAATCACTTATGCTCGTTGATTACTCATAATTATTGTTTACGTCCGGCATGTATGCATTATCGGAGAATCTCTATAATATTCCATACAGTGAACTTTAAGGAACTGAAGAACTTTCTAGGAATGTCTTTAGAATATAGAATGTCTTCGTTTTAGGATGTCCCTTAAAGGTTTATGCTATATAGAATATAAATATAAAAAAAATAAAAGGGGAAAAAGCAAACATACTGACAATCCAGAAATACACAATGCACCGTCGATCGACTCAAATCGCGTGTCGCGACCGCACTCAAAACCCAAAATTCAAGTGTGTACAGCATCACACGAACGCCAAGAAATAGAAAATTCAGAATGATTTCGTTATTTACCCAATGATAAGAGGGGGCGTGCATGTGAAGGGGATACGAGCACGGGAGGTCCTCCTTTTGCCTCAAATTCTCAAATATCGGCATCAGCTGGCTCATAAACTCCTCCGCTACACCACAAACGAAAATCTTTAGCTTTCTCATGCAATTGTAGTGGTCCCTTTTTCGGAAAGTTCACGCGCCAATGAGTAAAAAATATTCCTGAAATGAACAGCTATTTCCACACTAAATTGACATATGATTCCAACATGTTTTTTCTTCTGAACTGATTGACTGACTACAATTTGGATTACAATGTAAAAAATTTCTCAATTTAATATCTAATGTAACATTTGATTTCATAGGATTTCACAGGGATGAGTGATTGTATGGAATTGGGAGAATTCTCCTCTTGCTATTACGAAGCGATGAGGTCGGAAAGGATTTTCGGAAAAGATAGACAAGACGAAATCGCATCTCCTGAGGTCGAACGTAGAGCTTGAAACGATGGGTCTAGCTTTTAGTTGGTGTACTCAAACTGTTTTTTGACAAAACCGACCAGTGATGAGAGTAGATAAGCGTCATAGATTTCTAAATGTCTCTACATATACAAACAATGCAACTGACTGGAAACTGCCATGCTCATGCGAATGTCAAACGGCTAAGTTGACGGCTAGTTAAAAAGTGGTTGTATACTTACGGATATCGATGAGACCATAAATCAACTACTGATAAAGTTGTCCAGGTAAGAGCTGTTCGTGCAATTTAATATTTTCTATTGCGGTACCATAATAGCACCCAAAATCTAATATGAAAGTTCATGAATATTATACGAGTTTAATTTATAATTAACGGCAGAGAAATAAAAGGCGCAGCAAAAATAAATACCATACGTGCTACGTCGCATTTAAGAAATTCCATGATTGCACGATAGACCCTGCTTACCTTGGTGATTGGTCCAGCATTGGTGGAGGACATTTGCGTACGCTGCAGCGTCGAGGTCGGGCTTGGTTTGGAACGGAAGGCTGTCATAGTCTGGCTAACACCATCCGCCAGTATAAATTGCTCCCGTAGCTCGATATTCGTTCTTCCCTTGGCTACAGTGTGTTGCGTGCACGCAGTTAGGGAAAAGGCGTTTCGGGGATGCGGGGTACAAAAGGAGGTGCCAGAGAGATGTTATTTTGTACAAGAAAACAGTCCGGAAACAGAGAACGGGAACGGATGACGTCGAGATGAAATAACGAACGCGAAAACGTGTGATGTAATTTAACAAAAAAAAAAAAAGAAAAAATGAAAGCGAAAACGAATATGTAAATATCGGAACGACAACATCCGGAACGAGAGTCGTGAGTTATATGGAGTGGAAGGTGTAAAAATATATATTTTTTACAAGTTTACAATATCAAGGCATGCGCGTTATTAATGAGCAGTGGCAATAATGGACAGGAGAAATAGTTTTGAGAAAAAGAGAAGAAAAAAAAAGGCGACAAAAATGTTTCACGGTATGCGTGCGTGTTTTCGTCGAGTACATGTATGCGAGTGTGGTGTATCCAGGTATGCATTTGTGTATCATGGAAAAAAAAAGAAAAGACAGCATATTTAGAATATACAATCAAAAAAAAGTTTGACATTATAAAATTCAATATTTTACAGAGGTACAAGCTTATTAAAACAATCACTCAAACCAAATTTTACGTTATCATAGTCATTATATAAATAAGGTTTATGATACAGGAGCCACTAATAAATATTCTGCCACTGACTGGGACTTTGTTATACAATACTAATTTCAATGCTTAGGATATTGGCATAAATTGTACGATTTGCGACGGAATTTACTTTTTACATTTTCTCTTACAATAAAAATATAAACGTAAAAATATGGTATTTTAAGTCGCTCATATTATTGTACATTTCACAATATGCCTAAGCCTAAGCAATTAATGAGTACGTTATATAGAGCATCCCAGAATGTCTTTTCATTTATAAATAAAAAATTTAGATCTTATTAAAAATTCATTCAAAGCTTATTGTTATTTATATTAACAACTTTGTACTCCCTTTATTTTTATTCTGTTCTTGTTTATCTTTTTTATTTTTAGTTGAAGAAAAATACGACATTCCTAGAATTCTCTGCATATAAAAAAATTTTTTAAGATTACACGCGTAACCAAGCCAAAAGAAACCAATGTACTCTTTAACTTTAATGTATCATTTTAATGAGAAGTTAAACTGAAAGAAAGGGAGAGAAGAGAATAAAAAGTTTCAATATATTCAAATATACACAACTCATCTCCCAGTAGAATAATCGTAAAAATAAACCAAAATTTACTAAACATGCATTGGTTATCTTCTAGCAAGGATATTAAAATGCTACACAAAGGAACGCTACAAAGGATACATTAAAATTAATTGCAAAAAAAAAAATTAATTGATAAAATAATTACACTGAATATTACTGCAAGGGTAGAACGTTTATATAGAAAATAATTATCAATTAAAGGATAGATTGGCTAACGTGAACCATTCACCAAAACTATAAAAAAAATTGAACAAATATGAAACGGGGGAAACAAAGCAAAACGACTGCAGTATATTACGTTCGTAATCCTGCATCACTATAAATACAGGCATTCTTTTTTTAAACACTGGCACTCAAAACTGCATCAAGAAAACAGTTAATATTACGCAATAACTATAGCGTTAATTTTATCTGCGCAATCTATTATATTTACCTTATCCAGTAATTGCCAATATTTAATCGTTCCATATAATACAACCATATACGCACGTATGTAGACATACTCAACAAAAAGGCAACACTTCGAAAAATTAGTTTGAACAAGCTATATAATAAGGTCATGCACCATACGCAGGGATATCACCTTCATGGTCTATAACATCTCGGACCGACTCGAGCCATAATCCAATGTCATAAATATTCAGCGTAATTGAGAACTCGAATAAGACATTTTAATAATTGAACGAGTTTCGTTCAATGTATAGACCATGAACGAATTGTTGTGCACGTAAAACAGTTCTCACCGAGCGGACACCAACCCTCATGTTGTTCCGGTTTGTTAGGATCCGGTATTGGCATTAGAAAAACTTAACGAGTTAATCACGATTCGAGAGATAAAGTCGATTAGAAAGAACAAGATGTGTCGATTATTCATGCATGCTCCGCGATTTAGACGTTTATAATTTTTTAGTTGACGGAAACACATTCGTTAAATAAATGTAAAATATCAATGTAAAAGTAAATACATAAAAATGAAACAAACAGAAATATCGTAAAGTTAGACGTACGGGATGTGAAGAGGATCGATGGACAGTAAGGAACAGTTGTTATATTAATGTTAGTATATAGTTAACAAAATGTTAGATATGCCTACTGTAATATTACCTTCTACCTACTACTCATGAAATCGTACTATAAAGTTCTCTGATATAGAACTAATGATTATTTCAAGACTGATATTCAGAAATTGATGAATTTACCGTTGACGGAAAAGGCAGAGAGAGAGAGAGAGAAATTAAAAGTAGAAAAAAAACCGACAATAAATATTTTTCACGCAATATGTAATTAAATTAAATTGTCATGCATGTTGTAGCATAAATATAACAAACGTAATATTTAATGTAAAAATAATAATAAGTACTGAATTAATTATTTTTCATATCAATCAAATATCAACGAAGTAAAATCAATATACATATACCGGAAAAATAGTTTCTAGATAAGCAAAAGCAATAAACAGCAAGTGTGTACACTACTCTCAATTGTTCTTTAAGTATTAAGTTAACAGTAAGTTGCATTTAATGTCTGATTACAATGTTATAACACCTCAGGAGTGGAAATCGTTCATATAATACATATATTATATAATCTTAATATCTTTAGTTAGTCTTATTAGGATATAGAGTACACAAATAGTTGTATTAAATCGACGTTCAGGCTTTCGTTAATGACAATGAATTTCTCTCAAATGATACTACATTTCTACATTTAATGCAGCAAAGCAAAGTAATGCTGATTAATGTGAAGTAAGAGCGATAGAAACAAAAACAAAACGTTAACATATTGTTATAATAACAAATACTTAAGAGTATCACATTTTCGATTATTAGAAATATCAAAATTAAGTGGGAACGCAAGTTTAATTGCCTCTTGGGAAAGAAGGATAAAGAAAAGGAGACAGTACCATAGAACAATTCTTTTAAAAGTTATTTCAATTGCTTGCAATTAAGGAATAATTTGCCTTGCAAACATGTTTCGCATTAACCCAACAGTTTACCCAGTCACAAGTTTTGATTAATTTTATTTTCTTTTTCCTTACTACTAATATAAAAAATTTATGAAAGAGTATAGATTTTGATTTATCTCAACCTAATCTCAGATCGTCTATATATATCGCGCAGATTAAAGGCTCGTGATAAATACTTACCGCGGCATGGATCGTTCTTCAGAAGGAACTCGTCTAATGCTACCCAGCCTCCACCGACGCGTACCATGACAGTAGAACGCAGGATTCGAACCAATCGTAGTTTCTGGCTATCACCAAACTGCAATTTCGCAGTCGTTACGATTAAGTTTATGTAATTATCGATATTAATATTTGATTACGATTAACATCAGATAAACGCATGTCCGCTTCATTAAATTGTTATATAACCATATACATACCCTGTACTTTCCTTCACCAACTTGAAAAACGCGGAACTTCTGACGACAGGTGCACAGCATGACTAACCGTTTAACTTCGTCATGTATCTTGTCTGTGTCGTTGTAAGTTCGTCGTTCTTCCCAGTCAGGTCGCAGAGCGGCAATGAACTCTTTCCAATCTATCAAGCCCTCGCCGTGACGATCAAAGAGGTCAGCAACAGCACCCATTTCCAGACGGGAAGTCTCAAATTCTATAAATTCAAAACAATTAGGATATTAGAAAAATAGATGTTCTTGTATAGACAAAAAATTAACGAAGTGTGATAAATACTGGTGTTCATAATTCCTTGAATGAAGTCTTCCCTCGGTATAAGTCCATCGTTGTTCTTATCCATTTTTCTGAATAGATCCGTTAGTCTGGATTTCTTATGATTCATGAATTTCAAGAACTGCAATTAGAAAATAAATATTATATATTTAAATAGTTCATAATAAATGATAAAAAAAAACAATTAATTTTTATTTCTGTGAGAAGTAAAAAAAGAGAAAAGACAACATTAAAAATCATACCGTACAAACCCGAGGAATATCATTAATTAAAAAAAAATTAAATTTAAGTAGTATGTATACATGTTTGTATTCCCATTTAGGAATCTTCTTATTCCAAATCAAGTAATAATAGTTTTAATCTTAAATAAACTAATACAAATATAAACAAAATAATATAATGCTATTTAAATTTAATTTTAAAAAAATATTAAAGATGTTATCACTTGGATTTGTATTGTACAACAATTTTTTCTTAGAGAAATACACACACTTGACGCCTTTTAAAAAAAAATTCTATTTTACCCGTTTGCGCCAATCTTCCCAGCTGAAGTTAGCAACGCGATCCAGCTCTTGAATATAATTATATTTATCCTGCAAACGGCGTTGTCGTTCCCATGCTAGCATCCAAACGTGACGCCACTTATCCCAGAGAAGCTTGACTCTCGGACTACGGAATTCTGGCTCGGCTCCTTTGCTGTTTATAGGAAAAAATATATGCATGTATTTACACACGAAAAATATTTGGATAAATTTATAATACATAAGAATTAAAAATGTGAAATGTCATCTTAATTAAGGCAATTAGTCACTGAGATAATTTTACAGAAAGAGATACAACAATGAGGTATGATCTTCGTGTGAACAGCTCAAAAACAAATTCCAATGTAAATATCGCAGAAAATCCAAGACTTCAGTACAAGACAAACAATTTTCTGAACAAACAGTAACAATTTATCAAAATTCAACTACATGTCATCCCGCAAAGATTAGAAAAATCAATAATCCCATTACCCCGAGACATTAGCGAGTTGTATAATAAATGTAGCAATGCCTGTATGATTCGGATGAAAATAATGAAATGGCGCAGAATGAACTGAAATGAAAATAAAACTAGGTGTAACGAACCTTCCTTTGGGTGGGAAACGTGGACCGATGTGTGGCAATGAAAGATCTGGCGTTCTGTCACGACCTGGGCTGCCTCGGCTAAACAGGAACATGCGTCACATCACTCAAACATTCTCTACTAAATAAGGCATCTATAAAACGCTCTTCTTCGCGTCTCAATACAGCACTCTGGTTTATAGATTGTTTTTCTTTGTGATTAGATTATAAAAGTGTAGAAAATTAACGCAAGTTTTTATCAAATGTCGATTTTACATACATGTGGAAAGAAATTGTTAATAGTATTTTAAAGCTATATGTTTGCATTATAATGACTGAATGTATTATATAACACAAAATGCAATATTAGCTACGTTCAGCAAAAAAAGCACTTTTGCAGTTGTTACAGTACTCTTTAATATGATTGGTTTGTACTTTAGATCCAGTGAAAAATCAAGACTAAGATCAATCTTATTAAAGAATTTTACAACAATAGCAAAGCTGGATTTTCGGTTGAACGGCTGCGTACATTGGCTAATATATCCAATTTTTTAACACAGTGCATTTGTGAACAGAAATAAGTTTGTACTTGTCGTAGTCACACATGAGTAAAAAGCAAATGAGTTAACACACTTAACTAAATTCTGAACTTCTGTTCTTGAATACCTGAATACTGTGAAATTACTGTGCGAACAAAAAAGATCGTGTAATGAGAATGTTGTGTATGCAATATAAAATCATACAAAAATAAACACATACATTTCTACTGAAGATGTGCATACTGCGTAAACACAGAACACTGTACTTACGAAATTATGCGATTAGGATAGGTGAAATATATCTACATATGTTATGATGGACAACGCACCTTTGTTTACGAGGCTGAGGCTGCTCATGCTCGTTATCCTGATAGAGATCCTTACTGAAATCCCATTGCAAAAGCAACATATCATGCGGCAGTTAAATACACATAATATACGAAATTAAATATATAAAAAATAACAAAAGCTGCAAGCATCTAGCAAAGTAAACAATTCTTTTAAAACATGGTGGACTAAAATTTTTCCTAAAATTGCAATGTGCACATAGCAAGAAAATTTGTGAGAAACAAATTAAAATAATTAACACAGACACAAATGCAGTACATATATGAACAGAATGCAAACAACACTTAACAATTCAAACATAGAGTAAGCATAATGGTGCACAATGCTGTGCATATTATCCATCACGTAGGTATTCATATTTCTTCACAAAAACAGAAAAATTATAATTGTATCAATATATTATATAAATTTTCATGTTGATAAATACGTACGTAGGTGCTGGTGATCTGACTTTCGATATTTTTCTTGCATCCTTTATCGGCTTAATTTGTCGGGCCTTGCATACGCGATCAACTTCGTTTTGTCTTCGGCTAGTATTCTCCATGAATTCTCTATGATCCGCAATAAGCATTTCGAGCGTAGCTCTATCATCAGGCAAAGGTTCCGCTTCCAAGGCATTCAAAGTATTTTCCAAACCTTCGAGCCAGGCTAATAACTCTTCGAGAAGATTATCAAGATCCTGCAAATGTACATGTAATAATATTTATCTGTTATGAGATAAAATGTAACTTATATAAGATATATGTATAGAGTGTAGTACAAACCTGTAATCCCTGCATATGATTCTCCAATCTTTGGTTCCTTTGATAGGCCCATGTTGCCACTTCTTCCCATCTAGATTGAATAATTGTGATCCAATGTTTGATAACTGCGGCACCATCAGGATGCGCTTTTCCAAGAATAATATGTGCCAATTCTAATGTATTGTCTTTTTCAATTTCTTTAGTCTGTAACTCGCGGAGGAATCTCTGGTGCTCCATTAATTGATTTCTGCTCTCCTGCTCATCTTCTGGCAGCGGTCCGGCGAATCGTAGTTTCATCTCCGCGTCACTCAACCATTCTAGCAACATGTGAACGGCTTTATGAAGCCGTTCGGCCTCTCTAAGGGCTTCTTCCAATAGTCTGGACTTCTTTGTCGAGAGACTAGTTACTCTATCCCAGAGACTGTTTAATTCGGATAACTGTGATCTGATCATTGACGCATCTTCAATGGAGGCTTTAGATTCCAGTTCGCGACCAGTTTTGATAACGGATTCCATCTGTGAGGCGCGTGACTCCAGATCTCTTTCAAAGGTCCTATGTTGCTCCACTAAATTGGTTACCGTATCCAGGTCACCGTAAAGTGGTCCAGGATTGGCCAAATATTTTTCGGTCTTGCTCAACCATTCCAACAGCGCTTGAATCGCATCCTTGAATTGTCCTGAGAATAGTAAGGCTTCCTCCAGTTTTCGCTGTCGATCCACACATTTACCGCAGACCGTAGTCCACTTGTTCTTCAATTCATTTAGAAGTTCCCTCAAGGCAGGTTCATCGGATTTCGGCGCCTTATCCTTTAACGTTTTGCCGTTCTTCATGGTATTGTCATACGTACTCTGCTTAGCACTTAGTGCTTTTTGTACCTCGCGGTGTCTGTTAAGGCGTGATTTAATCTTGTCTGGATCATTGCCACCAAGTCCGTCGGCGGCGACTTCATCCAACGTCTTCTCGGTATCATCTAACCAGTTCATCAGATTCGACCAGCTGTCGTGGAACTCTCTAGCTTCTTTATAACCGTGATCTAAAGCCCTCGTTCTCTCGGCTGACTTGGAAACTACTCGTTCCCATCTGTGTTGTACACTCACGAGCAAGTTTCTTATAAGAATCACATCTTGTTTTTGAGAAAAGTATTTAAGGTGAGTTCCTTTTTTGTCGAGATTCAACATAGTTTCGCGATGTACACCAACGTCCTTTTGGAAGGCTTTATGTTCCTCGATTTGTTGAAGTATTGTTTCCATGACCCTCGAAACCGGTCGAAGATTTGTCAGGATCTTTTCAGCGTTAGTCAACCAATCGACGAAAGCTTGTAACGCGTCATGGAACTCGGTAGCTTCTTTTAAGGCAATTTCTAACTTTATCTTTTTATCGCTGGCGCGTGAAAGCACATTATCCCATTTTTGTTTCAACGTTCGCAGATTATGATTCAATCCACCGGCACTGCTCGTATCCGCTTTCTTCAAATATTCCTGTCCTTGTTGCAGTACCGTTTCTACTTTTGGACGGTTTTGTTCTAACTCGTTAAACACCTCCATAAATCGTTCTAACTGTTCGGATGCAGTTTCGGGCAATCCACCAACAGGTTTGGATGCTACTATCATGTTATCCACGTCGCCTAACCACGATAACAAGTCCTGTATCTCAGCGGTAAAGGATTGTGCCTCTCGTAAGGCATCTTCTAGTTCTCGTTGGCGATCAGCGGCGCGTTGCAGTAGATCTCGCCAACGACGATTCAAAGTGCCCAGTTTATCGGCTGTAGTAGATGCTTCCGCGGTACCTTTGCCATCCTCAATCAATTGTCGTCCAGCATCATTTAGAGTGTCGACGCTCGTCTGATGAGCTTGTATATCGTTTACTAGGACCTTTAGCTTGGCCAACTCGACTTCGATCACTTGTGGATCACCTGCTACTGGTCTGAGATTATCCAATGTCTTGTCAGTTTTCTCGATCCATACTAATAATTCGTCCAAAGCGTGCTGGAATTGACCAAGTCGTAATAATGCATTCTCTAGTAATCGTTGCCTTTCCACCATGCCTCTCAGCAATCCGTCCCAACGTTTATTCACAGCACCGAGCGGTTCCTTGATGGCTGCTGCTTGTTCGGAGGATGTTCTTTCCGTTAATTCAGCTGCTTGTCTAGATATGAAAAGACGATAACAACGTTAGAAAATAAATTTGTCATTTCTCTTGGTATTATATACAAACGTATATGTTGCAATATATACTCGAACCACACAACAATAGACCACATCTACAGGGAGGACAGGTATAAAAATCTTAATAAGTTTAACTACCGGAGGAATTAATATCAACTGGATATTAATCACTGCCGTTTCCACATTATTTCTATCAAAAATATAAATTATATTATCGTCTACGATTTCTCATGATTGATCATTCGATTTACCTGCTACATGCGGCTGAGTAATCTGTCTTGAGGTAACATAAAGGGGAGGATCCGATTAAATATGGTAACGCAAATTGTTAAGGGACAGCAAGACTATTAAACTAAACAAAGTAGAAAAAAACACGTTCGAAACAACATAAAGCCATGCTCTAACTACCAGCGACAACACAGAGAGAGATTGACTTGCCTTGTCAGACTCCTATGTTCGGGAACCGGCGCAGAAAAAACAAAAGAGACGGGATTAGATTTTACATTTTCTCGAAAGTCACTCATCGCAAATAATTATCGGACGGGAGTTGCACAAAGGGGACAATGCTGCGCACTGAACTCTTTGTAACGCCATTTACATGTAAATTCAGCTTTAACTTAAAAATTAAATCGTCACCTGTTCAACGCCTCGACTTTCACCATGTGCGGATCCACCTCGGCCTTGAAATTGGCCAGTTGTTTGATTTGCTTCTTCACCTCGTCAATGTCGCTACCAAGTGGACCCATCTCCGCAAATCTATCCTCGGCCTCTTGCAAGAACTCTAACAGGTTCTGCAACGTTTCATGGAACTCCATTGCTTTCTCCATGGCGTCGATCAAATTCTCCTCGCGTCTGGCGTACAGAGCGGTGACATTGTCCCAAGCCTGATCCAAATCTTCAATGTGCTTTCGCACTTCAGGTTTGTCCGGCTCGCCGCACAAGCCCATCAATTCGTGTCCCGATGTTCGGACTTGTTCGACATCTGGCTTGGTCTGATCGATTTCTTGTCGAATTTCTTGCAATGCCACTTGCTGTTGCTGGATAGCAGCTGGTTGAGCCGCCGGTGGTGCCTGTCCAGCTAGCGCATCTTGCAGTTCTCTCAAAGTGGCCATAACTCCATTCAGCTCGGCCCAGAATTTTTCGGCGACGGCCAGAGTGTCATCCAAAGTATGACCGCGATCGGTTGTGGCTTTCTGGACATCGGTCCATAATCTATTAAGTTTATCCAGCTTGCGTTTGATGTCTTTGACTGCCGGATCGGCCCTATTGCCAGCTTTGCTAATCACATCATCCGCTGCTTTTTTAACGGCTGCATAAGCCTCGGATCTTTGAGCAAGATCGTCTGCCAAGGCGGCATTTTCTTCCATCTGATCGCGTAAACGAGTTGGATGGGCACTGATGGGTTCAGCGCCGTTCACCTGATCGGCGGTAGAAGACAATGCGCGCAGCATACCCTCTAGTTTATCGGAGAACTGAGAGGATTCCTGCAGTGCTTGCTCCAACGCCTGTTGCCGGCCTCTTAGCTCAGCTCTCAATGCCGCATAGCGAGCGTTATCATTATCTAGGATGTCTTGCACCTTTATACCTTCTTCTTCGTTACACAACTTGATGAGCGCTTCACCAGTCTTATTGAGCTTCTCCACGAGGGGTTTATGCTCGTTAATGCTCTGTATGAGAAGCTCATTTTTGTCCTGTTGCGCCGCTATCAAGTCGGGCCGCAAGGCAGGCATAGGTAACATAGCGACTTGTTGTTCAGCCTCCTCGAGCCAGCTGACCAGACCAGCGTGAGTATCGCGAAGATGTTCCGCTAACGGTAAAGCTTGCTCGAGAGCTCCCAATCTGTCTGTTGATAAAGCCGATACAATTTCCATCGTTTCACGCAAATCCTCCATCTTATCTCTGATAGTAGATGTATCTTCGTGCTGAGCATTCTCGCGTATTACTTTCTTTGCAGTCGAAATAACGTCACGGACTCTACTTTTCTGACTGGATATATCATCATTAAGCGCTTTATGTTCTTTCAATTGTACTCTAATAATTTCAGGCTCGCTGCTAGGCGGCTCAGCCTCTCGAAGTTGATTGTCCACTTCTCTGAACCAATCAAGCAGATCGTCGATATCGCCAATTACTTCTAAAGATCGCTGTTTACTCAATTGAATTCTTTCTGCTTTTCTTTGGATCTGTTCGGCGATTGCATCGAATCGCCTATTGTCTCTGGTCACGAGACCTTCGATTGTCGCAGCACCTTCTCCGGGCGACATTTGACACAGCTGCGGGCCCACAGCGTTGATCTTGTCCAAGACGGGTCTGTATTCTGATATCTCCATCTCGAGTCGGATAATCTCTTCTTCACGAGGTTCAGCAGACTGCAAAGCGGCCTCCGCGCCTTGCATCCAGTCCATCAGACGATTATGATTATCATGGAATTGTTGCACTAATGGTAAGGACTCTTGGGCATGTTTCAAAAGATCTGAGCCGCGCGTGACAAGATCATTAAATCGTCGTTGTAAAGAGTCCAACTTGTCCTTCAGTTGAAGTGCTTCGTCACTTGAAATGTGTTTCATCAGTTCTAAGCCAGAATCTACGGTACTGTCCACTTCCGTTTGTCGCGTGGATACTTCTTCTGTAAGATCCGCAAGATCTTCCATTTGTTGTAAAAGCTTCTCCGTATGTACAGCCAAGATACGATACTTCGACAATCGAATCTCCATGTTCTCCATCCATGCTTGTAAGTCTTGATACGTAAGAACCAAATGACGTAAGCCTTGTCTCGAACGTTGTAACAAATTACCGAGAGCTTCGGATCGTTCAACCAAAGCTGCGTATCTATCTGCCGCATCCTGAAGTTTATCAGCCAACGTAGTAGCTTCATCTTCGCCTACCAGTGACATAAGTTGACTGGCTATCTCCGTGAGTTCGCTGAAATCTGGTGTCTTTGATATAATATCCTCATGAAGTATATCATGTTCGTTGACACGCTGTTGTATTTTCTCTTCGTCGGTAGGAACCAATTCCATGTCCCTGACTTTCTTCTCTGTTTTATCCAACCAGATAGTAAGTGGTACTAACTTATCTTGGAATCGCTTCGCTACCGCCATTGCTTGCTCAAGAGCATCCATCCTCTCCGCGGCGCTTTCCGTCAGATTATCAAATCTGCCCACTAAATCATTCAATTGTTTCTCAATGGCCTTACGCTCCTTCGGGTCGGCGTCGGCGGCAACCTCACGTCCCATGTTGTAGAGAGACGTCATAGAATTTTGTCGATCCATCAACATCTTCTTCAGGAATTTCTGTTCTTGCAGTTGCGCCTTCACAACTTTGTAATCTGAAGAAGGTGGCTTTTGATTCGAAACCATTTCTTCCGTATCGGTCAACCATTTCGCTAAACCATCTAAAGCCTCTTGGAACTTGCCCGACTGCAATAATCCAACGTCCAACTTGCGATCGCGCTCGTTCAGCTAAAAATAAATAATTATTAATTAAACAATAAAATGTACGTTAATTCTTGCATAAATATATCAAATAAATATATATTCTTTAACATTAAGATATAGATTGAATGCTTACTCTATCTTTTAAGTCGTTCCATCTTTCGTTCATTTTATCGACGTCTTTTTCGATATTACTGGTATTGACATCTCGCCCTGCAGTTTGTATGAGGCCTTGACCGAGCGCATTACAATCTTCAACGGCGTGTGCTAGTGGTTCAATCTTTTTAATTTTAAGAGTTCTGAAGTCCTCCTGCTGAGCTTTAATAGAGTCCACTTCGGATCCTACAGGTTTAAATCTTCTAACTTGTTCGTTTGCATCATTAATACCTTCCATAACGTTTACGTGCAATTGATAAAACTCTTGTAATTTATTCAAAGTAGAAGTGAGTTCATCTTCCCTAGTACGCGCCCGTTCATCTAGTTTACCAATTTGCCGTTTAAATCCGTCAACCTGGTCTCTTGTAGCTACAGCATCAGTAGCGAAGCCGTAATCAACCAAACGTTCACCACGATTCTCCAAATCGCCAATTTCTTCATAGAGTCTGTTAATTCTGTTAATAATCTTAGCAATATCCTCCAATTGTCCTCGTACAATCTTGATTTCTCTACCGGATGCTTTCATCGAATCTAAATCTTTTTCAAGGGCGGACAGATGTTGATTGATCAGTTTCGCTTGATCATTAAATTGCGCGACCGCTGTCGCTGCACTTTGCAGTTCGTTGCATCTGTCATCCAGTTTCGCTTGCAGGTCATTAATGCGATCGGTAACATTGTCAATCTCGTCTTGTAAATGTGTCGCATCGACGCCTTGCTCACCGGCTTTGTTCACAAGATCGTTAGCTTGTTGTCTTACACCCTGCAATGGTTTCTTCAAACTCGTTGTTTCCTCTCGCAAGTTCTAAAAAGTAATATATATGTATAATTAACACATATTTTGTATTAATTGTTTCTATTTTGTGTGTAAAAATAAATCTAATCTACCTTTATTCTATCAAGAAGTTTCGGATCTTTAGCCGCTCCGCCAAGAGCATCGTGTGAAGCCAACTTATCTTCACAACGTTGTAAACCATGTTGTAAATCGCGTAAGTTTTCGTTGAAATCCATTAGATGACGTGCGGTATCTTCCAAAGATTGTGTTCTAGATAACAAGTCTGTAAAAAATAATTGAATTATAATATTATTATATAATACAACATACAAATCTACTAAACTGTTGTAAATTAGAATATCTTTTCAATAACAAAATTTAATAATTTCAATTTTAAACATACCATTGTTTAATTTATCCCATCTAGTTTTCATAGCACTAAGCTCATTCTTTACATTTTGCTTATCAATATCACAAGCTCCAACAAATGTTTCGCCTAACATCTTGTTATTTTCGAATTCTCCGGAATGTTTCCACACTTCGTTCCTAAACGATGATAATTCTTTCAGTTGTTTCTCGATGTCCTTGCGTCTAAAAGATGTAGGAATCAAACTGTCCAATTTATCCTCGGCTTGTCGAAGCCATGGAAGAAATATATCTTGAGCTTTATAATATTTTTTGCAATGTTCTGCACAGGTCTGCAATCGAGTGTGCCTTTCGACAGTATCCTTCTTCAAACGGTCCCACTGTGACTGCATCTTATCCAAATCACGTTGAAGCGAGCGGTTTTCAGTTTTATGAGACCGCGAAAGTATGTCGCGTCCTTTGTTCAACAGCATTATGACTTCGTGTTCTTTACCCATCACATTACGATAAACAGGCTGAAAATTATGTTTTGTTTTTATTAATAAAATAAAACTGAGAAGACATGAAATATATGTATAATTAAAAAAAAACAGAATTTTTAAATAGTAGTACATATACCTCGTGATGATCAAGTTGCTGTTGCAATATTTCTCTATCAGCAGACACTAGCAATTTTTCAGACATGTTTCCAAGTTCATCCGCGAGCCATCCCAGAGTTCTGCTACAGGAGGCTTCGAATTGTCTTCCATCTCGCAGATTACCTTCGATTTCTGCTTTTCTATGGTCCAGCTTCTTCTGCAAGTTACTGTACATCTTACCGACTGTGGTGAGTTTTCCTTGAATCTCGGATCTCGACGCAGGGTCACTTAGAACCTCGCATAGTTGCGCACCAGCCATTTCCACATCTGCTAACAATGGTCTCTGACCTTCCAATTGTCTTTCCAAGTTTTCGATTTTACGAAGCTGTTCTTCGGGATCCTTCTCAAGAGTCAATTCGTCTAAATTATCTGAGATTCCTTGCAAAGCGTCTCGCAACCGGTTAAGGCTGGCATCGAATTCACGACTAGTATCAACAGCATCACCTAAACTCTGAGCTCTTTCATCTAATCTTCCCATTTGATCTGCCCATCTCTGTAAAATGCTCTGCAATTTTGCGTTTATCTTCTGACCATCCATCGAATCTATGGATATTGTGACAAGGATACTTTCTCCAACTTGTACGAGATGATCCAATTGCGGTTGTTGAGTTCTGAACTCCTCTCGCAAAACTTGTACTTGTTGTACTTGACTTGCGACCATGCGAGGGTCAGCTGAAATTGGTCCTAAAGCGCCCAGCATACGCTCTTTAGCACCAAGCCAAGAGTTAAGACCATCATACGTATCATAAAAATCTTTAATATCTTCCAGGAATTTAATTCGATCTTTACACCTGTCTGAAATTGATCTCCACCGACTAGCAACGTCTTCCATCTCATCGTTCAATCTATCCACACCGTCCGCTCCTTTTTTACGTCTGACTAAATCACGTACTTGCGTTCGAGTACTATCCAGCAAAGATTGCTTCTCGTACATCTCTTCAATAAGAATCTTAACTTGCTTGACTGTTTTGTCTGCATCATCTTTAGTTGCGGGCATGCTTTCTTTAGGCAATTGCCGCTGAATCTGGTAACAAAAATTATTGCTTTGCTGTATAATCAAATATACATTAGAATTAAAAATATATCACTTTAAAAAATAAAATTACCTTATCCAAGAATTGTGAGAGTGTTTTTAGATGGTCCAAATGTTTCTTCAATTCCTCTCTAATATTATCTAACTCCGTTTGGCGATCCGACAATCTGACACCAAGTAATCCGTATCTGTGATTAATTTCCGAAAGTTGCTGTTGAACAGGCGATAATTCCTCGAGATGAAAACCATCTTGGCTCGAACGACGGCTGCTGAATCCACTGCTACCACCTGGGGAGACCGGACTTTGAACTGCGTAGGATTTAGTAGGTGACGGCGAGCGACCGTCTTGTGACATTCGCAGTACTACAAAAAAAATGACAGAAAAAAAGATAAAACATAACGAAAATATAGCAATGATCGTGTACTGAAAAAGATGCAATGTGAAAAATATATAAGCTTATTGTTGTAACTGATAAGTTACATAAATTGGTAACAATTTATTTGCAAAAAAACCAATGTGCAAAGTTCGCATCGTAAAATCATGCTATCGAAAAGTATCTATGCAAAATCGTACATGTATAACAATAATAATAATATGTAATACCTGGTCTCTTCGTCGGACTAGCACTACCACGTCGACGAGTTGGACTTTCACCGCGTTCCTTCATTAAACTGTCGTAAGCAATACCGAGATCATTGATTTTATCGACCGTATTGCCGTAATCACGATATTCCTTTTGTATAGGCTTCAAATCTTCCTGCTGTAGTTTCAATTTATCCAAATCCACGGCGACTGGCTCGAGTCCTTGTACCTTGTTTTCTGTACGAGTAAGCCAATCGAGTATTTGATCTCGCAATTTCTCATATGCTGTGTGTTGTTCCGCTCTAGATTTGCACAATCGTTGTTTCTCGTCAAGCAGATTGTTCAATTCCTTCCATTGAGACTCAAGTGCTTTGATCTTATCTCTAATCGCGCCTGCTTCGGTTATATCCTTCTTAGAGATTAGATTCTTTCCATTACGTACGAGATCTTCGAAGTTTCCTCGCTGATCCTCACGCATGTCAATCAGTTGAGCCATTTTAGCCTCGTATTCTGACATGTCAAGCTTGTTCAGATCTCTCGAATCAAGAATTTCCATCATATGCGCATACCAATTCTCAAACTTGGCTACATCTCTGAGGAACTCGTTCAAGGCCTGTGCAATTTCATCTAGGAATTCACCGCGTCTTAAGGATTTATCCATCAGTTTCTCAAATCTACTTTGTACATCCTTCAACTTGCTTTCGATACGTTTGGCAATACGAACGTTGCTCGAATTTAAGAGTAGATCTTGAGCATTCGCTGTAATAGTTTCTACGCTCAAACGATGGCTATCTAGATCTGCTTGAAGTAATCGCTGTTCTCTTTGTTGCTCCTCCAAGCGTTCCTTCTGCAAACTTGCCGGACGTTGAAGCGATCTATAGAATACACGATTTGTTTAAATATACTATAAAGATAAAAATAAGTTTAAGGTAGTGTACAAAATAATTCAGAAATGATATAATTGTATATCTCTTATACTTACTTAAACTGACTTTCAACATTGTTCAGCCATGCAACCAGACTGTCCAATGCATCTTGCACTCCTTGACTTCTTACCAATGCTGTGTCAAGTTCTTGACATTTGTCAGCCAGAGCATTACTGAGTTGCTTGTACTTATCTTCTACTGCTTTCACTGGTTCCTGGAGCTCTCTAGCCTCATTGATCGTCAATTGACCTTCCAAAGAATGTAATAGAGCCTCAACGCTGTGTTTAGCATTGTCAATTAAACGTTCATTAGCAAGGAATTCATTATTCAACGCCTTAGCTTTGCTCAATTGATCCTCCACTTGTTTCGGTTCCGCGGCAACAGGTTCGGAAATAATTCTGATAACTTTCGGCTCAACATCTCTCAACCACGTTCTAGCTTTATCTAAAGAGTCGTGATAATCTCTCTGTTTGCCGCCAACTCCCGACAATCTGTCTGACAGGAGATTTGCTCGAGATAAAAGATCTTTATATCGAGCAGTTGCACTGGATACTTCGGCGCGTATCGCTGAATCTTGGCTAGCTGTGGGCTCTTTGTGTGGCAATCTTTGTGGCAAGCTGGTCCTGAAGTCGTTAAGAACTTGGAGATATTCTTTACTCTCATCAACAAACTTCTGTGCGGCCATTGTAATAAATCTCAAATCTGCTTGATGAGCAATAACATCGCTAATGAAATCGCGAGTTGTATCTGTGCTACTACTAAGCTTGTTCAGATCGGACAAGGAACGCTCCTTATCCTCGAGTACGCTTCTGGCTTTGTCTAACCAAATCGAGAACGTTGTTAATTCATTCCTGTATAAAACAAATCAATTAAATTCGAAAGACACTAAATTATACTGCAATTACATGAGAGATACTGACTTGAACTTTGTTAGTTCATCTCTGGCACCAATAAGACGTTTCACTAATTTGTCAGTGCGATCTAATGCTTTGTCAAATCGAGTTTTTAAAGATCGACCATTCTTCTCTAATGTAGATACTTCGTCGCTAGATAACACATTGCTGCCAGTTAAGACGACTTGTCGAATCTGATCTAAGCAGGATGACACGGGTCGAGTGTGCGATTCAAGATCCTCCTTTATTTCCTGCAAGTAACATATTTCATATGTAATTATCTAATTCTATAAAATAAACGTATTTAGATCAATTACTCGATTAACATAAATTATGATTATATAAATTCTACTGCTTACTTTCATGATAATTATTTGCTTTCTCAAGTCCTCTACGTCTTCCTTGACGGTATCTTGATTCGCCAGTTTGTCTTCAACTTCAGAGATCCACTGCAGAAGTTTAGACAGTGTCTCGTCGCAGAGCTTGTATTTCTCCTCCACCGCTTGCTAAAAGTTGGAGAAAAACAATTCATTTCTACCTACTAATACAGTTTATTTATTTCACTACACTTAATGTGCTACAAAAAAATTGAAATAATAAGAATATCGTCATCTTACCAATAACGATATAAGCATCGTATTAATTAAAGATTAAAGAAATGTAGGTAAGCTTACGACATATCTCACGCATGCAAACACAGGCACACTTTTAACGTACAGGTAAAATACAGTATTAAATGGTAGCTTTAATTTATCTGCAAGAACTGCATATCTCTCGTATCGGATTTTTTCATATGCAGTTTAAAGCGTAAACAATAACAGTATGAGAAGAACGTAATTGCATAATAAAACACGTTCCAACAAGCAAATAAATTAAAACGCACAATGACGGAGTAACGATCGTGTGATGATGTACTGCATATAATAATGCGTATGATACAGTAATGTACAATGTGGAGAAATTTCCGCTAACTCATGCTAGCGAAAACATAGGTTCGTGATAAGTAAACATAATCATACCTGAAAAAAAGGAAAACATTTAAATATATAATAATTATCATAACTCTGAAGATAGATATTAAAAACTAGTTGAATTAAACGCATATTAATAAATAAATTGATAAAATTAAATTAAGATATACATTTGTTAATTTCATGTTAATCATACAAATTTTTTGAAAATCTGTAAATACAATAAACTGAGAAAAATCCAAGAACTTATTCTTTACATTTTATTTATTAAAAAAAAAAATCTTTTAATCGGGGAATAATATATTAGGAAGTGCTGATGCAGTGCTTACAATTATTACGTTGGTTTTGATTACCGTCAAGCGTTTCACATTATTTAACATTACGTTAAAAATGGTAAAGGCAACAAATATCAATCATGATTATCATATTTATTTACTATTGTCTTATATCTCTTAATGCAATTCTGTTATTTCTTTTATACATAATTTATAATAATATAAATGATAATTACAAAAATACTTGACTATTATTAAATTTTATTTTCTATTCACTAATGCTTTAATTTATTTGTCACAATTATCTTACTTCCCGATTAAACTAATATTTTATAAAGGATGATGAAAGGTAAAGAGCAACATGATTATAGTTGCATGTCCTTTCAACCAAATTCTTCTTCTTCTTAGGTATGCTTTAATTTTGAATGAAAAATGCCAAATTGCAATTTTTTTTATTTCGTACATGCATGCCTTATGCATTAGTATGCTCAGCGAATGATGTCTTTTTTCCAATCAAAGGAATTTATTAGCATCCCATGATTGGATCAGATGATCGAGAAATATTTTCATAAACGTTTTCAAAATAAATTATATAAACTTTCAAATTACACTGCACATAAAACAATGAAAATTTTATTGCAAAAAATAAGATAAGAGTTAAAATTATTACCTTAATGGTAAAATTAAAAATTAACGATAAAATTATAGATTAATGTTACTTAATTGATTAAAAAAGGAGTAGCGTTGTTGATGCGACAAAATTTGACTTGGGATTAATGATATTCTGTGTGGTAGAGGAGATTATTCATGATACGATGTTCGATACTGTCCGATGGTTTGTAGATCGCCAATTGTAAACGATGAGCTCGAGGAAACGTACGTAGTGTCCAATTAATGTCGTTCGTGATGATGGCCGACCTTTACTGAACCCACATTAAAGTAATGAAGGAAGGTAAGCACGAAGGTAAGTATGGTGTATTACATGATGAGGAAAGTTTGAGATAAACCGTTTGAAGTGAGCATTCCGATAAAAGGAAGCACGGGGATGATTCCTCTATGAAGTAGAGACAGGAAGAGATAAGACCAGAGTGAAAATAATTTATGCCCATGCATATTACACGTATTATTCCTTTCAATCTTTGATCGAAATATGATAAAAATGTCATGCGAATAAAAAACAGTTTTAGAGATCCCATGCGGGATCATCATGCCAGCAAATGGCTCTCCTCGCGAATGATAATGATATAAAACTTTACGTCAGATTAGGCAAGGCAAGATGTGACATACAGAGAATCGCACGACAATAAAAACGTAATGTATTATTTGAATTCGTGTAACAGCGTAATGATAATCACATCCAACTCTCTGAGAAAGCTGTTAGGAAATCGTAAGTGGAAATAATAGCAAACGTAAACTCGGGTGTGAGAAAAATTGGAAACCCAAACAGCAAGAAAAAAAAAATAAAACAAATGGAGGACAAAGAAGAATCAATTGGTGCAGGAATCGCAGGGATGTGTAAAAGGCGTCATTCTGGTTGGTCCTACTTACCCTGGCTTCAGCGGCGAGTATATAACCCCGCTCCAAGGCCTTCATGAAGTCGATACTCTTGCCATCAGTGTCCTCGACTAATCTGCCTCCTATAGAATCTACCTTCCCGCTACTCATTGCCTCTAACAGACTCGCGATATTACCCGTGAACGGATCTTTGATTACGGTGGTGGACGGATCGATTAGGCCCGACTCGATCGCATCTGCCAATGTGAGGCGCCTACGATCTAACACGGAAGTGACAACAAAGGGATCATAAAAGCTGCCCGTGGTAGGATTATAAAGATTGAACTGTAGCGCTTCGATGAACGAAACACCATTCCTCGGGGTAATCAACAGGCCGGCTTGCAGAGCCTTAGGTAAGCTGTATAACTTGGATGTAGCTGTGTCCAGCACATTGCCCTTCTCAGCATCCATCATGCCCTTGCGGAATGCTTCCGGCAATTTTACTAGTTTCTTTTTCTGCGAATCTTTAATCAACGCCGAGTCTGAATCTACGATACCGAGACCGACCGCCTCTTTTAGAGTAAATTGTTCGTTCGAGATCGGATCCGTAAATTTTCCCGATTCTAGCGACAGATACTCTTTCTCCACTGCCTCCTCAAAAGTGAAAGGTTCTCTAATAAATACGGTGACATCACCGAAACGCACGAAACGCGGTTTTCTTTTGCTTTCGCTGTTTAGTTCAACCGTGCCTCTGACGGAGAGATCTACGACACCGTCCGCAATCGCTCTTGCCGTCGTTACAAATCGACCGGTTCTAGAGTCTCTTACAACCGACGTATTCGGATCAATAAGTTGATAGTTAATCGCTTCTTCTAAAGTGCATTCTTTGACATTTCTGTCGCCAAGTCCGGCTTTGGATGCCTCTAAAGGTGATCTATGTGCTATTTGTTGTGCTAGAGGTTTGTCAATAGTGACCAATAGACCTCTTTCTAAAGCTACATCGATATTAAAAGCGCGTGTCGTTTTAGGATCCAGTATTCTTCCTCGAGACACATCGACCGTCCCGTCTTCGATGCCTATTAATAGCGACTTGATCTGTCCGGTTGTCGCATCCTTTAAGGCAGTAGTATCAGGATCTACAAGACCACAATTAATCGCTTGAAGAAGATCATAATATTCGTTAACAACGGGATTAGTAAATTTACCGCTATCACTACGGTAAAGATAGCATTTGATCGTCTCTTCGATCGAGAGAGGCGTTTTTGATGTGACGATGAAGCCCTTTTTCGCCGCTTCTTGCAAATTAATCGCTTTGTCAAGTTCACGAATGATATACATGCCACGAACGTCATCGACAATGCTCAAAGAAATTGCTTCAGCCAGTGGGATATATTTGTTAGATCTGGTACACTTGACAATTGATGTCAAGGGATTTATTAGATCCACTTGGCAAGACTCAGCTAGCGTCAGCTTATGATTGCTGGTTGGATGTACAAATTTGCCTGATGAAACGTCGTACATATTCATTAATATTGCCTCGTATAAACCAAATCCCATACTCTCTATATCGACGATAAGACCCAGCTGTAACGCGACCGATAATGAAACTGAACCACTGGTGCCGGGTTCTTTGAACATACCGGTGCGCCTATCAATTACGCCAGCACGACATGTTTCCGCTAATGATAATAAACGTTCGCCACGCTTGTCCCAGTAACATGGTAATGTGGGGCTAATTACGCACTTCCTCATCGCTTCATGCAACGTCACGGCTCTACCTGTACTGGGATCAGTGATCTTGCCCGTGTTATCATCATACAATCCTTGATGGATGGCACGCTGCAAAGACACGGCTGCTCTATTATCAACGATGAGGCCAGATTCAAAGGCGTCTCTCAGAGATACATTTCTGTTACTCTTGTTAGTATCTTTGAGATAGCCAGTAGTGCCGTCCATATAGTCAGATTGTATAGCTTCTATTAGCGTCATCGTTTTCCAGATGCTGGATCTCATATCCTTGACGGTAACTGAATCAGCGTCTATTAAATTCTTTTGAATAGCTTCCAATATTGTTAGGTAAATGCCCGTTTGCGGATCTAAAAATTTATTGGTTTTATCATCGAGGATGCCTTTTGAAATTGCTTCGCTGAAACTCATAGGTCTCCTCGTTTCAAGGAGCAAACCACGTTCCAGCGCTTCCTGGAAATCTACAGGCGGTCCTCTGGCATGACTAACTGTTCCGGATTTGGGATCAACTATGGAAGTTTTAATAGCTTTATTGAATGTCATCACGTCACCATTTGGATCTCGTACGATCGCAGTTGTGGCATCTATCACGCCCATCTTAATCGCACGATCGGTAGGAAGCTTCTCTTGCGTATCAGGTATTGTGAATTGTCCGGTTTTGGGGTCGTATAAGCCTTTGAAGATGGCATCCGGTAGGGATATCTTACGTTTTGCTGGCACTATAAAACCGCGATCTAAAGCATCAGTTAACGAAAGAGGCGCACTGGTACATGGATCCACTGCCGTACTGGTCTTCGCGTTGATAAAGCCGTGTTTAATAGCGTCACCCAGAGATATTATATCGTTGTTTCTCGGATCTTTAATCGATGGACTGTCTTTGCTAATAAAGCCTTTTTCCATCGCCTCCTCTAAAGTATAATTATTATCATCAATATTAAAAGTGCCTAATTTTGGATCATAAATTTGAAGAGCTAAAGCTTCTTGTAACGTCCATGGTTTCACGGTACTCAAAATGTATCCTTTCTCAAAGGCGATGTCCAATGACATAGAATGCGGATAAGTAAATATTCCTCTTACTAAATCTATTAGATTACTTTCCTCTGCTTCATTGAGAGGAATAACGTTATCTTTTCTATCATCTTTTACTACTGTAGTGGAGCCGTTAACATAACCAATGGCTAATGCCTCCTTCAACGTTATATCTTCACCCGTCATTGGATTCAAAACGAGGCCAGTTTTCGGTGAATAGTATTGCTGAATAATAGCGTCAATCAGCGAAGGCACGAATGGTGTTGTGATAATCAAACGTTTATCAAGCGCTACGTCTAAGGGTAGAAGCTCTCCAGCTTTTGTATCGCGCAAACGACCTGTATTAGGAATCAATAAGTTCATAGTCAGCGCATCATCCAACGAGACGGATGAACCGGCTTTTGTATCCTCAATCTCGGTGATAAAAGCATCAACAATATTTCTATGAACACCTTCCTCAACGTCGATCAATTGTTTAGTTAGAGGATCTTGTATTTTTCCTGTCTCGGTGTCGTAGTGACCTTGCCTAATAATAGCTTCCAATGAGATTGGTTTGCGAGAACTGGGTACAATTAGACCTCGTAAAAACGCCGTCGTAATATTGATTTCCGTTCTTGTTTCCGTATTGACAACAACATCCTTGCGAAGATCTACGACACCTGTCTCCAGTGCTTCAGAAAATGGCACAATTTCGTCAGTAATTGGATTTCTCACACCAAGCCCGTCAACGTCAATGAGTCCTGTATCAATAGCTTCGTTCATAGATAAAACTTGTCCCGTTTTTGGATCTTGAATTGTTCCAGTGATGGGATTGCATACACCGATATCGATAGCTTCTTGCAAGTCTAGAGCCTGCGATTCTGCGAACTGTTCTGTATTCGTTTCATCCTCTGGTTCCTCCTTGATCCATCCCAAACGTACCGCCTCAAAGAAAGGTATTTTTTTACCGGTTTTTGGATCAACCATATAAGCAACGTTCCTGTCTACGAGAGGTCGGCTGATTGCCTCGTGTAATTTCACGTACAAATCCGTCTTAGATGATAGATCCTTGACGAATACTCGGTCTGGATCGAAGACATTCAAGTTCAATACTAGATCATTGAAGGAAGTGATGGTACCTGTTTCTGGATCCAAAAATTTTTCTCTTACAGGATCAAACACTCCAAATTCCGCAAGAACCTGAGGCGTTAATTCTTTCGTTATCGAAATGTGTCTTGGTATTTCTTCGTCTGAGACTCTTCTTAATTGGCTATCGTTCTCCATTTCCATCTCTGTAGTTTGGATCGTTTCTGTCATTCTTGTATCCGAAAGTGCTTGTTTCTGCGTTTCCATTATGTTGGACTTATCTCCAGTCTGAGAATCAACATGAGATTTCTGAGTAATTTGAATTTGGCTGGAAATAATTTTTGCTGGTAGACTTGATTCTTTCTTCGTTGAAACAGATAATTTTGTTATGGATGCACTCGGCTTTGATTTTTTAGATTTGCGATTTGAAATTGCATCAACAACTGCTTTTCCAGCCAAAACTGGTGCGGCTACAACTGCTAGAAGACCCATTTTTGCAGCTTCCGCTATGCTAATCGAATGATCCTTCTGATCCTGTGCAATCTTCATTTTTCCAGTGGCAGGATCGAGTAAACCTTTCTCAACTGCCTCTTTGGTAGTAATAGATTCATTAGTTTTAACATTATAAAGTACGGAATCGGGTTCGATTAGTCCCACTTTTATCGCTTCCGTCAAATTGTAAGATTCGTTCGTCTCGGGATTTTTAAACGTCTCAGTTTCTTCATCGTAAATTTGCTCGACCGCTTCTAATACAGTCAAACTGTTATTAAGCGATTTCCTAGATGTTACGGATTCACTCTTGCTAGATGAAGTATCGAGAATTCCTTCTTCAATGGCTTTAGCAATAGACATTATGGTACCGGTGCGAGGATCAGTATAAATTCCCTTTTTCATATCTACAAATCCTTTTTCCACCGCGTGATCAAAGGACATTTTGATATCTTTCGTCGTAAATTCTTGTTTAGTTTCAGATACATTCTTAACAATACCTCTTTGTCGGGCCTCTTCGATAGTAATAATATTACCGGTATTGATATCTTGTACTTCCGTCGGGTTCTTCAGCGCATAACCTGATAAAAGTTCAACAGTCTTAGTCGTGATAGTGTGGTACGATGTAACCGTTTCAGTGATGGCAGCTGTGTTTTCATCACGAGGCGATTTGATGATGAGTAAACCAGATTCGACAGCTTCAGCAATTGGAATCGGAGTTCCCGTAGTAGGATGGAAAAATATAGCATTGTCCCTGTCAATCAATCCTGATTCTAAAGCCTTCGTTATTTCGATACTGTCAGGAGTCACTGGATATGGTAATGCCATAATAAAATCTCTCTTTATAGCATCCTCCAGTGGTAAATTCTCTCCGGTAATGGGATGACGTATTTCTTTCTTGCTGATGTCTATCAACCCACGTTTTAATGCAACGGGGAATGTCATTCCTGCCGGCGGTATGTTGAAAGATTCAGCCGGTCCCTTTAACTCAAGCACTTTGTTCTCTATCGCATTTACCAAATCAACGCTACCGCCTTGCGTTCTGACCAATAATCTTTCTGCATCGACAGTATCGTTTGCAATAGCAGACTGCAATGTTTCCGTACGGCCATCAAAAGTGAACATCAAGTTAGATAGAGGATCCACTATCTCGCATACTATAGCCTCGTTGAGAGTGAGATGCGCGCCTGTTTCAGGATGAACGATTTTACCCTCTACAGGATCTAGTAAACCTTGTGTATATAAGCTGGGCACGGACAAGCTTTTTGCCAAAGGTACTAATATATGCGCGCTTTCTGGATCAAGGATTCCGCGATCAATAGCCTGTTTGATACTAAGCACATCGCCTCTTTGTGGATCCACGATCTGACCCTGATTGGCGTCTATTCGATTGTCACGTATTGCCTCAGAAAGAGTGATTGGTTCCCCTTTTTCATTGCACATTTTCTTCGCGAAGGTATCTGCTGTTTCCATGTCGATGAAACCACTCTGCAACGCTTCCTTAACATTTACTATCCTCTTTCGCATCTTCTGCAGAACGATAGGTTTTGCTTCTCGCTCGGGACTTTGTGATAATGTTCTCGCTTTACCAATCGTAACTTGATACCTCGGCTCGACCGTCACTCGCGCTCTGGTCTTCGTACCTAAACTGTCGCTATCTGTAACATCATTGGCGGATTTTGATGAATCAATCAAAGTGGTATTCTTAGCGTCCTCCTTGGGAGTGCGAACTTTTCCAAATTCATCGTGTACATGTTTTATAATAACTTTTTCATTTTCATCAGGCGTACTACTTGCAGATTCAATAATCGGTGAAGTTGCGTTATCGTCCATTGGTATAATGCCACGTTCAATGGCGACTTCTCTTGGCACCTTCTTACCAGTTACTGGATCTTTGACCATCGTTCTCTGTACCGCTTCTATGGCGGCCGCGGTAGCCGCGAGAGGAGCACCCAGAACGAACACCACTCCGAACTTCGCCGCGTCGATCAGTGATATCTTTCTGCCATCATCGATTTTATATTCGCATGTATTTATATTCAGAATACCGCGATTAACAGCTTCCGCCATGCCAATGTCTTTACCTGTTGTTGGATCTTTAACGATTACAGCAGTAGACGGTATCGTTCCTTCAGAAACAGCGGCTAAAAGATTTGCAGATTTTCCGGTTTTTGTGGAGATTACTAAGGCTGTTCCTGGATCGTAAATCACTCCCTGAGTTACCTGTACCGGATCCGGCATAGACATTTCGTCACTAACTTTTATTTCCATTTGCTGAGAAGGATCGCCAGCACGAGTCAACTCCACTTTATCAGGCTTGCCTGAAACTCTTGTGATCTGAAGAAGTCTCTGGTTAGTGCTATCGCTACCTATGCTCGGATAGTCTTCCAATATAATCGTTCCATTCGCGATCGCTTCTCTCATCGAGATTTTTTGTGGATAACAATAATGACCCGTAGAGTCCAGAATGTTTTTTTCTAAACTTCGCACCAAGGATACCTTTCTTCCATTGGTGGGATCAATAACGAAACCAGAATTTGGATTGATGATCTGCAACTTAATACATTCCTCGAAAGAAACCAATCTATCAGTGCCTGGAATTATGAAAAGACCTGTAACAGAATCAAGCAGTTTCTTATCGATAGCTTCGGCGAGTGTCCAACCATCCGTGGGTAATTCGAACACCTGTTTATTTGTGAAAACACGCTCGTTTTCTATGAATTTTGTGATTTCTGATGTGCAATTTGTAGTTGGTGTAACTGATGTGATTAATTCCACATCTTGTTTTTCATCATGTGAAGGTGATTTAAAATCATGACTTATTACATGAGTTTCATCAAACAAACTTGTTTTCGATATTATTTCGGAAGTTGACTGTTTGGTCGATTCGCTAATTTCTATCGATGATGAGATATCCTTAGTTGAGTCTCGCGTGAAAGAAACAGAATCAGTCGTCGCTGATGGTATGACTGTCATTGTAACTGAAGATGATTCTTTTATCGGTGTAGACGATGCTCGCGGAGCAATTTCTTTGGTAATAATAGTGGTAACCGTGCCGATTGCTCTAGGTGGTGATTCGCTTCTTCTACTTCGAGGTACTTCACCGATACTTGTCGTCAAGGTACTTTCGAAAGTTGTACGTAACGAATCTGAAGCACGTTCTTGCGAATGTACAACATGCTGGCGAACATCATCACCGAGCAAATTTTGTTCAAAGGCGTCTTCGATGGACATCGTCATTCCCGAATCAGGATCCCTAAATTCATTTTTACTTTCATTAATCAAACCGTTGCTCAACGCTTCTTCATAACTAATTTTGTAATCTCTTGTAACAGTTTCACCAGTTTGCAGAGTCGTCACGTATTTTTTGATGGTCTTCGTCACAGTTTGCGTGGTGACTGCAATATTTAATAAACTAGTGAGCAATGCAGCACCATCGGGAGTAATAAGTCCTCGCTTGATCGCCTCCTCCAAAGGCACTATCCTTTTGCTGCGCGGATCCAATAATTGACCGGACTTAGGATCTAACAATCCGAGCAGCACAGCCTCGAGAACGCTCGTCTCGCGCCCGTTCTCAGTAATGCCGATGCCATGGCTTAACATCTCCAGTACTTCCGGCCTAATATAACCTTGTTCTTCTGCTTCGCTCAGCGAAACAGTCTTTCCAGTTTTCAGGTCGATCGTGAAAGTACCGCCGGATTTTGAGCTGATCAGACCTTTTAATAATGCAGCATTCAGACTAATGTATTCGCCGGAAACTGGATCTTTGAAACCATCGATGTCAAAGATACTCTTTTGATTCACTGACGTAATCAGTCCTTTCTCGACGGCTTCAGAAATAGAGAACTTTTCACCTTTCAACATGTCGCGATACGTGCCATCGATTTTAATTATACCACTGGTTAAGGCGTCTGCTAGCGTAATCATTTCGCCGGTTCGAGTGTCTACTATGGACTTGATGTTCTCCGAGTCTAAGACTCCGCGTGATATGGCCTCCAATATCGTTAATTTGTCACGATGTGCTGGACTAACAATTTTGCCTTTGTCGTCGATAATTTCTAGATCGTAACAATCCTTGAGCGTCATTGGCTTGACGATCAATTGCCGACGACGAGCTTCCTTGAACGGCAGTTTCTCCATCGACAAGCCGTGCATATATCTACCGCTTTTGGCATTCAGTATACCATGTTTCATAGCCTCAGCCACCGTCATCTTGTTGTCACTCCTCGTGTCCACAATCTCTTTCACATTCGCATTGATAATATTTTTGTCGACGGCTTCGTCCAATGGATAAGACTCGCCGGTAATCCTATCGACGATACGGCCGGTCCGATCGTCCACAAGACCTTGCGATATTGCGTCGGAGAGTGCGATGGCACTACGAGTTACCCTAACGGTCACGTCCACCTTAGTAAGATAGCCGCGTGAGTATGCTTCTTCAATTGAGATTCGCTCGCCATTCTCAGCAATGACCTCTCCCGTGATCGGATCCAACAAGCCCTTTCTCATCGCATCGACAACGCTAATTCCCGTGGTGGCGGCATTACTTCCACCACCGTCGTCACGACGTGCTGTCGTTACCTTAACTCGATCCGCGATGTCGGCCCGTTCGTCGTTGAGCTCCTCACTCATCGTCGCGAGCATAGACACCCGACCGTTTGAAGTTAACAGCCAATCGGCCATCTCCGCGTTGATGATACCGTCACGCGCGGCCTCCTGGATCGACACGCTCGTTCTGCCATCGCTTGATGTCACTATCCTAAGATTCCTAACGTCGAGGATCTTGAGTCGAATTGCCTCGCGTACGCTAAGAACTTTGCCGGTGCTCTGATCTATGATACACTTAACGTCCATCACGTGAACCGATTCGATAATATTACCCCTATCGTCGACCCTTCTAAGCTCGTTACTAAACCCGCCGTCCACAACGGACGAAAACTCCTGCTGCTGCTGTTGCCTGTCATAATTCGTCGTACCGCTTTCGTGCAAGCGTTTGAGCAGAGTACCACCGGCATCAACGGGTTGAACCGCACCCAGGCTGGTGGTCTCGTCATTAGGACGGTACACGGCCTGCTCCGCATTATAACTTCGCTTCGAAGTCTCGCTCGAGAAAGTCGTCTCGGTGGACTCATGCCTCTCGGAGGTATATCTACGGCAAGAGCCATTGAGAAGTGTGAACGTCATATCGAAACTTCAATCGCATACATTTCGTAAGAAAGCTTAAATCCATTTCACAACTATGGATTAAAATAATTGGAGAATAAGCTCCTATCGTGGAATTCTATGTAGCAGATGAGGGCTAATTCTACTGTGAATGCGAATAAGCAGTACTTCCAATTTTTAGTACAAGTTATACTCACTGAGACTGGGTGTAGTGTGTGGTTGTGGATGTGTAACGCTCTTCGCTAGTAGTGCTTTCATATATGTTGAACTCTGTGCGGAACGTCCGCAGTGGCCTTTGTTCTTGAAGAACACGCTGAAAATAAACATTTTGCAACTTGCAGAAAACATTTAGTTTTGTTTTATGTTTACGCTTATATTTCTACATTGAACGTGATGTTTGAATTCACGGACTTTAACAAATGCTATAATTTTTCTTTGTTAAAAATATAATTAAAAAAAAAATAACTTTCGATATAAAATTTCCTATTTTAAATCTAGCTTTTATTGAGATAAAATTTAATTCTTGAATTAATTGAATCTATTCGCAAAAGCAGATTATGTAAAGTGTCAGACGCCATCCTTCTAAAGACACTGACAAGTAAACCTACCCAAGTGTTACACTCTGATTTTGATGAGTTTTTAGTATATTGTTCTCCATATAAAAATAAGTGACACATATTTTTTTATATAGGCCCATATGCACTTTTAAGGGGTGAAACATCTCTTCGGAAAAAAAAAAAAAAAAACGTTTTTTCTATTTCGAAGCGAATATCTTTGAAACTATAAGAGGTAGAAAAAAATTCTACAATGAAAATTGAATGATTTCAAGAGTACTTTATAACTATAATAAACAAAAAAAATTTTTTTTATTATAAAGTACTCTTGAAACCATTCAATTTTTATTGAAAAATTTTTTTCTACCTCTTATAGCTTCAAAGATATTCGTTTCGAAAGAGAAAAATCGTTTTTTTCAAAAGGGTGTTTCACCCCTTAAAAGTGCGTATGGGCCCGTACAAAAAAAATACGTGTCGCTTATTTTTATCTGAAAAACAACATACTAAAAACTCATCAAAATCGGAGTGTAACACTTGTAAGTACAATTGGGTCAACTTGTCGATCTTCGATTTTTAAAACCGATTAACAATCGTGTCAGCCACACTGCAATCATCAACGAACGTCTCGCATGCATTTAAATGAGTCAGCCCGCACGACGGTGTACAAGTTTACATGCGGCGAGACCAGCATATAATTGGACCACGTGCCTCGCCGCAATCTTTCAGCCAAGACGAGGATTCTTAAATATAGCATTGCTCACGCACGCGCCGTACGTATCGCTCTTACGCAAAATTTTATCCGATGCAACGCACGCCTTGCCTTTAATTACCTAATTTCGATTGAGAAGCTCAATCATAAGTACCAAAACACATAATTTCAGACGTGATATTTGCTTCATGGTCGTAGGTGCCCGTAGTCTACGTCATTTACTTATATGTCATCGCGAAGACAGATGCTGTCCTTCCCATCATCAACTCATGAACTCAAGAAGACATGGGAGAACACGTGCGATCTGATGTGAAACGAAGAACAAAGTCGGGAGCCTTGAAATCTCGATGAGACATAATTCAGTTACGCAGAAACATTATGCAAAATTTTTATTTATACATAATCAACAAATCTTAATGCAAGCAACATATGATAATAATCAAGCAGTTCCAATATCGAAAACAGGACGCGAATATCTGAAAAGACATTTAACTAAAACCGGACTATAAATTTGGAAAAAATTTTAAGAAGTAATTATTGCTGCGCGAATAAATGAAAGAAATTTAAATTGCTTAAATAAAAAATTGTGATTTGCAATAATCTATTCGAATATCTTCCGGACTCGTCAAGAAAACATCTTTATCTCTTCGATGACGCTAATAACATTAATTTATGTTATGCGGATGAAGCAATTGAAATGAACAAAAATAAAATTAACGAAGAATATATAAGAAATATTAAAAATGTCCATGAAGCAACCCATGACTGATTTACTGGCATCGTAAATCTTATCAGAAGAATTGTATTTGATATGATTGACAACTAATCAATCTATGCCAGAGCTGTACGGTTACATTGACAAAAAATTAATTTACTTGCTTTTGTTGTCGCGCGATTTACATATAAAAATTAATTTAAAAAGAAGTCGTTCAACTTAGCTATAGACAATGTAAACACGGTATATTTTGAGTATTGCGTTATATTGTCGGACAATTTTGTCGCACCGTGATGCACGGATGTAATTCTTCATGCAAAATCATTTAAAATCATTTACGACGTTGCGATAAATGGAATTCAAATAAAGGAAGACAATTGTTTTATTTTCAGAGTGTCAGTATAGTCTTCGAATTTTAAGTAACTGAAGATTAAAGCATGATCCCATCAATGTAAAATTAACTTTATAATCTTGATTCAATACCCTGTTTATCTTTTTTTAATTCTAAGAATTAGAAAAAGGTAAACAGTAAGTTAAATCAAGATTTAAAGTTAATCTTATATTGATGAAGCCAAAAACATTTTGAAACGATCTGTTAAGAGTAAGATTTGCGAAAATGTTAATACACGGAAATAAATTCTAATCTAGAAGACCACGTCTCTCTCTCTCTCTCTCTCTCTCTCTCTCTCTCTCTCTCTCTCTCTCTCTCTCTCTCGCGCAACTCTCTCTCTCTTTCTCTCAAATATACCGAACTGTTTCTAGGTCACTCTGTACACGCGTTAAAATAAGAATCCGCTATTAGGCACGTCGGTATAGAGAATTTAAAGATGCAAGCTACTCCGGAAAAAAAATGACAATGCAGTAGGCAACTCAACGTACACAATCTAAATTCTAAACGTATATATGTATAGTTCGTGTAGACATTTCCGATTGCGAAACTCGATTTCCAATAAAATTGCACTATCGATAAAAAAGTGCAATGAGTGTACGGAGCGATAGTTTACCTTGTTCAAACGGTGTACCTAATCAGTCGCGTTATACAGCGGCGAACCGATAAGGACATATAATCTAAAATGACGAAGTCGAACGACGACGAAAAGTTAAGCGAACATTGAGAATTTTCATTCTGTATACATGTATATATATATATATATATTTTAATATAATTAATCTTAGATATTTCTTAAATATTTAAGATCTAGAGTATTTTTTAAATATGTATGTAATTTAAAGGTATATTTTTAATTTAATGTTATATATTTCCGGCTCTTGCTTAATTTCGAAAAAACAAATCACTTAGCATTCAATCTGTAATACATGCTGCAAGATATATAAAAATTTAAAACTCTGTGATTTATTTTACTAAATTAGTGTATATTTGTGCATTACGTGTTGAAATCCAAACGCGAATATGGACATCGACAATAAAGTAGCATACGTGAGTTCATGAATTTGAATGTCAGCAATAAAGTAGTAGATGTTAGTGGTCATAATAAATACCGGTATGAGATATTTATTTATTCGAATTTACGTTCGAACATTTGAACTAAGCAAGTATGGGCTTTCAATTATTTTTAATGGAAATAGGACGGTAAAAAGTATTGCCAGATGTACTTAGAGCATCGTAGAGAATAACAAGTAATGTTCGTTAAAGAGTTCCTAAAAAATAATCTTCTTTATGTATGTGTGTGTGTGTGTGTATACACACATATATATATATATATATATATATACACACACATATACTATATATGTAGTACAATTTTTTGGTGTAAAAATAAATTTGAATGATAATACGGTTGTATATTATTTAGAATTTAAAAAATAATATTCCCTTCGCGTGTTATTATTTAAAAACGTATTTACGAAAATGTAAGTTATTAAATATATTTTTAAATAAAAAATGATTTCAAACGTGTCAAGTTCCGGAAAGATATTAACTTTGTAGAAAAAATCTGCAGCTAATCCGTCACTTCTTTGAGGACCGCAGAAAGTAAGAAACATTTTCCATATACACACATGATTACACCTCAATTCATTTTGACGTATGTTTGTTAATTAACAGCTCCAAAATCTCACCAAATTTTACAATAATTACAAAACTCAAATTATCAAATAATACCCAAATAACAAAATAGAAGAATTTTATTCTATGATTCCCATTTGTTAAAATCGGGAATGCGACGAATATCCATTTTTTTTTTTTTTTTTTAGATTACCTTTAATCCCGATTTAATTTACTGTGTATCTTATTTCAGTTTTAAAAATAAGAAAAAGGTAAAAAGTAAAATCGAAATTAAAGTTAATCTACATGGGCGTCATCCTCAAAGACGCACATCTTGCTGCAGCAACAAAATTATTTCATAATCAACCTCTTGTCAATTTGTCACTTGCTTCTGACACGTTTGAAACCGCCGGTATCCGATTTCACTGACGAATGCCGGTGTATCTTGTTTCCGGAGCATGCGTTTCCGTCCCTTCGCAATATGCGCTGTCCTTCCGTACCTTTCGTACGATCATCGTAATCGTTCATTAGGGCACGTTGGAGTAAATTTCGCGTTCCTATCACGCTTACGACGACGACGTCTCTAATCGTTTGCGCGACCGGCGGCGCGAGGAGCATGCCCGACGAGCACACAACCTCGCAGCAGACAATCTCTCACTGCGACGACTCGTCTTTCTCTCTTTCGATAATGCCAGCCCTCGGAGGAGACGCGAGTGACGGCGCCGACGCACATCTCGGTCCAGCAGTGGCGCGTTTCAGCGTGGGCGCTTAACTGGCAGTTTGTTCAAGCTGTTCTAGGACCCCGGGACTCTCTTCTCGAGTCGTCAAAAAATCGGCCGCGCTCGATTCAACGAGTGGCATTCTGAACGACCGTCATTAATTTTGATTGCGCAATCTCGACTGCGGCTTCATTTCACTTTCGAGGGCAAACCTATTTTGCATTTTCGGCAATTGCTAGCTGACGCGAGTCGGCCGTAACTCGTTTAATATTTCTGGTCACACATGAGTGCTCCTCGGAGTCGTAAATACATAATTTATATCGCGACGATAAACGTTGCGTTAAGAATTAAGGATATTACCAAAGAGTGATGATCTTATCTCTCGTTTAATCTTGGCGCTCATCACAATAAAAATTCGCAATTTATTTATGAAATGTACCATGTTTCCTAATTCTTTATCGCAAATTAAAATTAAGAATTTTAATTAATAGAGCATGACATTCATAAAAAAATAAAATGACAAGAAGATACTGAAAAAAAATCGTGGAAGTAAAATCCGCGAACTCTGCTTTTACAAAAATCCAATATGAATAAATGACCTAATTTAATATCGAAAAATAGTGATTAATGTTATTTTGAACATTATAAGCATTGTACAACAATGCTTTTAATACTCACAAATAAATAGTAAATTACTATCCTTTACTAATAAATTTTTACAAAGGCGTTTTTTAATAATTACGGCAAAATTAATTAAAATGTGTGCAATTAAATGAAACGTATATCGAGTATATATAATATCCATATAGACCACGAAATTGAGAATGGATTTGAATTTAATCTTTACAAAAATCTAATATTGGTCAATACTGAAAGATAATAATTAATTATTGTCTTTCAATAATAAATTGATCAGTATTAGATTTCTTTAAAGGACTTAATCAGCAATTTATTATAGTAAACTTTGTTTTGATTGGTCAAATTCTAATCCAATCCAATCACAATTTCAATTTCAATCTCTAGATATGGGATTAACAGATGTGTATTCGTTTTCATTTGTCAGTTTAAATTAACATAATCATTTAACACATTGAGGGGCCTCAACAGGTGTAAATGCGTCACTGCTTTTTCGCGCCGACATCTTCCTATCGATCCTCGCACGATCCGGTACAACTAGCGGGAAAGATGAAAAGCTGCCATTAATCGAAGGTGAAAGTCGGTCGCGTGTCAAAATGACTATTCCATTTGATCCCGACCAGAGAGTGACCTCGAGGTATCGGCGTGACAAACGTAATAACGAGCAATCTCGACGACGATGGCGAGCGCACGCGAACCGGTCGCGATAAAAAAAAACAACAAAAAATGTATTTGCACCTTCCGGCTCATACGCGATGCCTGGCGAGGCGCGTAATGGTACCGAGAAAAATAGTCGCTATTTCTGATGTCGTCGTCATTCTGAATATAATTATACCTGCGGGAGATGTGGGCACACATACGGATTCTTGACATGAGAGCGCTCGTTCATCGCCGCTCATTAATTTCAGCTGATGTCACACACGCGGTTACCGAGACCGAGGAATCTCGATCGAGTCATTTCTTGGAGGATACGCCTCCCTAGTTTCGTGTCAAAAAGCCTACACGCGTGCCTTGCAATCGAATTTGTCATATGCAACCTTCGAGGAGTGTATTGAAAATTGAACGCATTTTTATTTTCATTTATCTGATGTGTGCATATATTACTTATTAACTTTAATATTATTAAATTGTTCTTTATCTTTTTTATTCCCAGTTTTAAAAATTAAAAAAAGATAAATAGGAAACTTTGAGATTAAAGTTGATCTACATTATTAGAAATGAATCAGTTACGATATAACTCAGAAATTGTCAATTTGAATTTCTTATAGAAAAAGAACGGGAATATAAAGAAAAAAGAAAAAAAATATAATTTTATTCTTGTATAATTTCTTCATCAAAATTGCATTTCAAAATTAATATTATATACAAAATTTTAATTATTCAAAATATTCGAACTTATTTTTTCCTCGAGAAAATAAGTGTGAATACTTTCGTTTTTTGAGTTATGCCATTGTTATAGCAAATGTGAGCGATATTTATCTTAAAATTTATTTCAAATTTATCTCATTTTGAGGTAAATATGTTTCGCATATTTATCTCATAAATTTATTTCACATATACTATCAATATGTTCATATACATACATCTCTATTTATCTTATACTTATTATTATGTTCTATTTTAAAAATTCACGTGCTTATATGCGTAATATAATAAAAAAACATATGTCGTATCTAACGTTAACATCGTTACTACTTCTTTACTAAATGGAAATTAACGTTCTCTCTCATTGTGTGCGAGGATCGATACGGGATTCGTATCCTGAGCAAGTTTGACGTAGTAAATCACCTTCGCGTGATTAGAAATAGTTCTAATTCGTTATCGCGCGATAATGAGCTGTTCACTAAACACCAAAGTATTACAATCAAGGATTTAATAGCGGATCCACTTCACGAATTCTCGATGTACGCCCATCAGCAATGCAAATGTAGGCCTTGCCGTAGTTCAGTATTAACTCCGTTCATATTTCAACATAGCACACGTGGCGAAGGTTAAATCTAAAATATCCAGCAGCACTTTGCTTGCGGCCCTTTAAGTTATCTCAGTTGCTCAATAAGTAATAAAAAAATTATGTATGTCGGATTATGTTGATATTCTCTTGGAGAACAACTCCAACGAATAATTTATTCAATATATATAATGAATAGGAATTTAAAAAAATATCGAACGATGTATTAATACTCTTATTTACTCATCATTATTATCCTAGAGTGTGACATTAAATGTGAGAAAACACGGAATAAAAATTGTTGCAAATTATATTCAAATAAAAATATTTTTCAATAAAACATTTGCAATCAATAGAATAAATTTATAAAGTACGTTAAAAATTATCTTTTTATTTCGGGAAGAAATTAAATCATTACTTTAAGTTTGTTATAACTGTATACATATAGCTTATTTTGTATTTGTTTATATATAATTTATTTTCACATTATATTATGTAATTTACACATGATATACATATTACAGTTTGTAAACATTTTTATTGTATATTTTCTCGATTCTGTCATAATTTGAGATAGTAGTGGTGAGTAAACAACAGTTTTAAGAAATTGTTATTTTCTTTCTACTAAAGAATCCAAGATATTACAGAGACAAAGATCATACGATCTATTATCACAGATAGTCTCGACATCGCAGAAGAAAAACAATGCAAAAACTCACCTGTAAGGAAGTGTCCTCAGGATGTAATAGTGCCAACTGTCTGACTCGCTCCTCAAGCAGATTCACGAGGGTTGTGTATCTTCGGTTCAGGGTATCTAGATCGCGCGCAACATTATCGACCGTAATAACGGAATCTCTCCGTGGCCTCTTCACCGATGCGTCCAACGACGGGCAGATATCTTCCAATTGTTCTTTGAACGCTCGGAGCCTTTGTCCGTAGATCTAAGGGTTTCCGGTTAGTCCGTTATGGTTAGTGTAATTAGATTGGTGTATGTGTGCGGCAATTACCGTTAGCGATTCCGAAAGCGACAGCGAGAGACGAGGCGTTGATACCGCCGAGCGCGGTGTTACCGCGCGGCTTACGATCTTTTTGATCTTTCGACAACCCAATGTGGTACTTCTCCGGTAAACAGATGCGTTAATGGTAGCTGCCGGTTACTCTCGTGGGTAGTACGTTAATTTAAACGCGTTTGGAATAATTTCGGGACTAATTCGTAGTCAAGCTAAGGATGAGCAGCGATTAATAAAATCGCGCTGCAATTAATATTGATAAAGAGCAGGAATATCCTTAATTCATGCCGAAATATAATTATAAGTACTCGTTATGTACCTTCGCAAACTTTTCTACGTATTAATCGGTCAGGCTCCACCCGCTGCGCATGCTATACCTCACTGGGTTATCTGCGATTGCAACGATTCGGGGAAATATCGATTATATTATGTTAAGCACTTAAGCAATATGCAATATCTAACATTTACAAAAATCGATACTAAATCGCCGCTAAACGAGGTCGTGCAGCTCATTCAACCGTGCTTTTGATGTAACTGTGTTAACAAGAAGGTTGCTATTGAAGTTAAAAAGGAGAGAAAGGCCAGTGATATTACAAATGCGCGTTGCCTGTAGATCGTATCGTCCCTGCTGCGTTACATAAGTGAGTATATTTACTTAATGAATGGCGGTTAAGATGGTTTGTGCCGTTTAATGGCATTGAGCCCGGACGTAAATAGAGAATTTTTACCGTTATGAAATTGACGAGACACATCGCCGAGAAGACGGTGGAAAAAGACAGCAGCACAAATTTGACTGTAAAGGAACGTTCATGTTTATATACAGCAGATGTAACGCGTCTTGATGCGTCTTGCGACTGCTCGCTCGATACTCCAGAAAAAGCGGCCGCTCCGACGAAACGCTAAATGAAAAAAAAGATTCATCGCGTGCATAATTTCTGAAAATCTCGAGGCGCGTACAACAGATTGTGATGAGACCTGTATATGTATAATGTAAAACACACGCAGAATTCCATTCATGCAAGCATTCACACCGTAAGCTAAGGCTACCTATAAGGCTTACTAGCACCGAATTATACATTACGATCCACATGTTCTCACCTTCCCTTCACGGATCAATCTACCGCCAGTGATATTCACCGCTTCGATTGCCGGCGTGCGATCCAACACCTTGCTCAACAGGTTCTGGATTCATAAAAATTCATTTTAACGATCTCATTGATAAAAGTAGTACAAAATTGTTGAAATCGTTCACGCTACCTTCGTATTCTCCAGTTCTAATTTTCCGTATGATTCATCGACAAAGTCCACTTCGTTTTGATATGAGTTTTGATACTGTTGCGCCAATCCGTAGGCTGTTTCGGCACTGCGCAGTCTATCGACCAGCTGCCCGCAAACGTTCGTCCATCGTGCATTTAGTTTGTTGACCTCAGCGTCCAATCTGTCCATGTCGCCGTGCGGACCTCGATGATTTGGTCTCGATTTCTCTACAAGACGCCTGGCGTTATGCGCATCTTCATTCAATTGATCTACTGACACTTGTTGCTGAGCGATAGCATTTTGAAGAACCATCAGATCTTCCAACACGCTTTGCAAGCCCTTCACGTCCGATGGTAACTCGCCGAAGGAGGCCAACTTAATCTCAAACTCGGAGATTGCCGTCGTGTTTTCTTCGAGGCTGGACAGCACAATCTCGACACACTTCAAGCGCTCAACATACAAGCTGCTCAGGTTCCACAAATGACTCCATTTGCTCGTAATATTATCAAGTTTATTTCTCATCGCCGGAGTTTTCAGGGTGATTCCGCGGAATGTCTGTTGCATTTGTTCCACGTCCGGCGCCAAGCGTTGCAGATTTTGTTCGTAGTCTTTGTGCTGTAATACGAGATGTTCCAAGCTATCGAGATCTCGAGGTAAGGGCGCAGCTATGCGTGCGTTCAGTACTCGCTCGGCTTCGTCGAGTGCTTGCTGAAGCAAAGACGCTTGATCGTTGAAAATGCGTCCGGCATTTTTCGATTCTTCCTCGGCTCTGGCGCGCTTCTCGAAATCATCGAATAGTCGATTAACGTCCGCCATCTCGCGTTTCAATCTCCTAAGTTGTGGATCCGCCGGATCTCCTTCGGATAGTAACTTATCTGCATCTTCGTTCAACGCTTTTCTGATAGCTGTACGTTGATCTTGTCCCATCGCCAAAAATTGCGGCAGATCCCAACCCTTGACCACCTTGATAGTCGCGAATATCATGTTTTGTCTTAGTCTCAATTGTTTTCGTTGCCAGAGAGCAACACTTCTGTCATACTGTCGTCTTAATCTTTCTGCAGCATCCAATGCTTCCTTATCGGGAGGTTGCAGCGCAAAGCAAACACCTGGTACAGGAGATTCCACTCCCTGCGTGTTTTTGACACGCCATTTAACTCTGCCGGAATTATCATACAGCGTACATTGTTCTCCTTTCTCGATGGACATCTACACAAATAAAATAAGATAAAAAATATGTATATTTAAATGCAGTATATTTTACTTCTCTGCAGTAAAAAATACTCACATTAACTTGTTTGTAGGTACAGATACAAGTGACCTGTAACGGTCGCATAACAGGTTGCTTGCGTTGCTTCATAGGAACGATGTCCTTTGCTCTCTCCACGAGTCTCTGTACGTGATCACCATAATTATTAAGCTCCTCGCGCAACTCTTGCATGCCTTTTAGAAGTCGCTCTCCCTCGTCCAATGAGAAATCAGATTGCGAGTAAACAGTATTCAGCGTTTCATCCTGTTTGGAGATCCACTGTTCGGCTTGCTGAACTTCTTTGAAAAATTGCTGGTTTTGCGCGGCGTGTCTTAGATGTACTTCAAGGCAAAGAGTAAGTTGTAATAACCAAGCCCACTGAGTTTGCATCGCGGACATGTAAGCTTCGATCGTTTTCGCTGCAGGATGATGCTGAAGAACTAATGCCTCACCACGATCTTGTACTGCCGAAAATTGTATCTCACGTTTCTCTAAATCACTCATCAAAGACTGTAAATAAATAATAAAATATTTTATTACTTTTGTAAAATATTAAATTAAAATTTATTTAAAATTTCAAATATACAAATAAGTAGATATGTTTATAACTAAAGATTGAAATAAAAATAAATCAGAATAAAAAATATAAATGTTTTCATTGAATATTTTACCTCTACACCAGATCCATATGTTTGCTTCACAAAAAGAAGAAATTTCTAATTTATTAATCCAATTTAACTAAACAAGAGTCATGTACTACATATTGTAAAGATAATTGCAGATATGATTACACGATGTTTATAGATCTTAGAAATCGCAAAGTGGACTTTCATCACTTCTCTAAAAAAAAGTCGCTCGATAATAACTAACCTCGTAATATTGCTCGATGCTCTGTACATTCAAGTTCTTGTCGCTCCAATCGCGCGTGACTTCTGTTTCCTCCTTGGCGTTTAACCAAACCAATTCGCCAGTAGCTGACTGTATAAAATCGTGCAGAGTATCCAAATCAGAAAGCCTCTTACTCGATACGTTAAGAAGCTCAGCATAAAGTTTTTGCAGAGTGTTAAGATGCTGGCTGTACAACGTGAGTTCTTCGCCATGGAAATTGTTCTTTGCCTGTACGCACTTGTCGACCTTGGCTTTGAATTGATCGATGTTCTTGTGCTCTCGTTGATGTACATCCAATTCATTTTGCACGCTAGGCAAATCCGATCCGTAATCCGCTTCTTGTAGATGCTTCAATTTGCTCTTACACCAGTCTATGCAATCGTGTAACGCGCGGAAATGTGGATTGGTATCAACTAATCGTGTTTCATGAACGGTAGTGCGATGTTTCGTGACAACACGTTCCTCTACAGGGAAGGAAACCGCAGAGAGAGGTTGTACCAGACGCCTATGCAGGAGAGATCGTAGTACAACCCATCTTTGATGCAGTTTTTGTACTCTAAAACAAATAGACGTTTTTGTCAATAAGTGTCATATTAAATTTAATTATTTTATCTTAAAGCGTTATTTAATATTGTACTAACAAATGTTATTAGCTATTTGGTTATTTTAAAGACATGCCAAGATGTGCCAAGACATCCAAGATAAACTTGGATAAAAGCAATCTTGTCAGGTTTAGCAAGATGTTCAAACATATTCCAAGATCTTTGGAAAGTCACTAAACATGATACGTGCATAACTTGATTTTCGAAAGCTGCCACTATAGCGATGGAAAGCGCGCTAATATTTCACTCATTAGCGAAGATTACGAGAGTAGAAACAATGTAATTAGTATTCGAAAACGAACGCGGTATGCACGTTACACTTGGATGATTCTTTGCATATCAATATTCCGTACTAAGAAAGGTATTAAATATTTTTTAAACATAGTACTAGTTTACATATTTACTAAAAATAAACATATTTATTTTTGGTACAAAAACCAATATGTGATTTAACTATTATTTTTTTATTTAGTAAATATTTATTTACCATAAGTAAATGTTAAATTTAGTACTATTTAAACAAATATTTATTAAAATTTAGTACATTTTTTCTCAATGCAGAGTAGAAATTTTAGTTCATCTCATAATTGAGGATAAAAATCAATATTTCACCTCTTATGAAGCTCGGGCGCCTGACTGTATCTACCCTCTGTAAGGGTATGCACATCGGTAAATATATTCTGTATTTGGGTTTCCGTACTGCGTATGTCCTGTTCCAGCAAGTCCACCGCATGTTTTGCTTCCAAAGGATGAAGGCGATCGAGCCTGCGTGCTTCGTCTTCTACACGTCTCTCGAGCTCCTCCAATCTGTTGTCAGTCGTTTTCATCTCACGATGCACTTTCTCGGCGAGTCGTTGCAGTCGCTCGAGTCTGTCAACGTACAAAGACACATTCAGGCATACATAACTATGAACATAATATCTCTAGTGGTAAATTGGAAGAGTTACAAATATTTTGTGTTTTTCCACAACAAAAAATAGATAGTTGATTCATCCTATTACTATCTCAAAAATTGTTTTAGTTGTAATACTTTTTAATCAGAGAAACATACGATATATGCGTACATACCTATTTATATATGTATATGTACATACACATATATATATATATATATACACACACATAACTTAAAATTTATATTACAATAATTAAACTTACCGTTTAATTTCGTCTATAATAGCTTGTTCGCGCTCCTGATGCAACATTATTAAGCGATTCCAATTCTTTTCGATGACATCAATATGTAATTCAGTTTCCATGTCCACTTCGCCCACCGCTTCGAAATACTTTTGCAGGTCTCGGAAGATGTATGTCAATCTCTGTTTGTCCCTGTATCGTGGCGGTACCTCCTCGTTTTTGAACTTCGTACTATCCGCCGCTAGTTTCTTCATTTCGATTAGAGTCGGCGGGAAAGATCGCTCTTGCATAAGAGCCATCTTCTCGCGGATCCACATATGAAGCGAGCTCGCAAGCTCACGATATTCCGCGGACCGTCTTTGCGCTTCGGCATCGTACAGAGGGTGAATGGCCGGTGGCTCCGGGAACACGTCGTAGAGCGAAGAGATGTACGTTATCAAGGACTTCTCGTCCGGTTCGGGGGTATCAACATCTGCGCAGGATACAAAAGAATCTTTATGTAAGTCACTTGACGTGTAATAAATTACACGTACGAGTGTAATAAATTATTTCTAATCTTCTTGAAATTACTACCCTCAACTACAGTTACGAAAACTACACCTAAGGTATGAAAAATACATATAAATTTTAAAGCTGTTTAAAGTACAATGTTTAAAGTACAGAATGCAAATGAACTTCAAAATGTAAGTACGTCTTACAGCGATTTCTAGAAAGTTTAAAATTGTTTTACCTACGAGTTAAAACCTCATTATACCAAAAAAATTACTTACTGCTGTAGTCAAGAGTTATATTCTAAATTTATAATCTTTTAATGATATTTTAAAAACAAGAGTGATTTAATTATCACTGTTAATAAATTAACTATAGAAAGATTAAAATTTTAGATGTTATCCATCCAGCTCTATTAAAGAAATCCAGTAAAATCTATCCAAGTTATATTGAATTATTGACACATTATCCGTTTCGCTTTTCCTTGCAACCTGATACCAATGTCAGATACCTGCAAGACACGAGTATAGAAAGCATAATTACGACCACTACCGATGGCGCGACGTTACGGTGTACGAACCGAGACCGGAAGCGATTCTGGTCAGATAACCGTGACCAAAAAGAACGCACACCGCCACTACGCTAGAACCCGCGGGAACTGTACATCACGCACCGGGCATACATAAATGAGAGAAACCCAGGTGGAATTGTATCCGTGAAAGGCGTCTTTGTAAGATGAGAAACCGCAAGAGCGGCCCAAGATAACGCGACAATAAAAAAAAAAACTTGTGATATAAACACACATCCCAGTATTCCCCTCTACCTCGAATTTTTACACGATGCACAAATCACGATCAGGTACATCACAAGTAACGACCAGTCAACTATAAATTGACAACTTTTTCTTTTGACTAAAAACATAATTGTTTCTATTAACTGACTTATTCTGTAATTCCGACTTATTTTTTTCTAGAGACAATTAGGACTTAACTCAATAATCGGTCGTTACCTTCAGGATCGAGAAGCCTCGTAACGCCGTACTCGCGCTCGGCGACGAAGAAGACCCGATCGAGCCGCTCTCGCGGCTGGCTTGAACGCGCCGTTCTCCAATCGACCAGATCCGGCCGGTTCCTGTGGAGAAGAGCACTGAAAGCCAAACCGTCCCTCCAGGAACAGGTGAAATCGGTCACCCGTACTCCAGGATATCGGGCAGTCGATCGTCGAGCCCATCTCAGAAGAGCTTCTCGCGCCGTTACGTTTGGTTCCTGACCAACCACTATATCCGATATCTAGAAAAATAGAAAGAAAAGGACAAGATTAGATTTCTTGAAAATATATAACACCTTCTTAAAATATATAATAAAATACAAAGTATATTTTTTAAAATATACACGGCATGAAAATAGATTCGGTTCGCCCTTCGATGTATCATTTCATGTGATGTTTCGGGTACCGCTGTTGCAAAAAATAGCGGAGACAGTACGGCATTATGTTCGCTATGATAACCATTTTTTCAGGCTAAAGTGGGAAAGAATAGCAGTTTTTGAAACCTTTAATTAGTAATATTCGATGAACATATACTGCTATATATTCGAAAACTACATATCAGTACTTAGTACTACATATCGGTTTGACTTAAATTATCATAAGCATAAAATTGTACGCGTTATGCAATGCGTATTTGCAACCTTCCATAGTTCCATTTTCTAAGTTGAACGTTGATAGAAACTGAAAGCTGCAACCTTTCAAGAACTATTGACATTTTGCTTAGCGGCCGGCGCCGGGAGAATATTGGTCACAGCATTAATCGATTTTAGTCAGATATTCATAGTTTTATATTAAGACGATCTTAAGTAACAATCTTAAGATGCTAATATAGCTCTCTGATTGGTTCATGATAGTTTAAGATTGTACTTCAATTAACCTTAAATACAAAATATAAAAATCAACTATCAATATCGATTATAAAGTAATATCACTGTCCTGACAAATTTAAACTTTTTTTCTAGACCACGAAAAAGTGATTCTTACATATTTTTTTGTCACTGAAAATAAATCTGTAAATAGAACTGCTCTATCACATTATTAAAATTTATATCGAATAGTACATTTATATTTAATTTTGTAAAATTCTTTATCACTTCTACATACACCTTTGTTTAAGTCTTTAGTTATTGCAGTATTCATTAATTCTGTTTCAGTAATACAAAGATTCAACCATTAACAAAATAATTCTAAAAATGTGGAACGCCGCGTCACGTAAGTGTCTATATTTATCTATATTAGGATAAAAAATCGAGTTCCACGTCACAACTGAAAGGGCTATCTTATCTCGTGTATAGATACATATTATATCGCGTCAGTAAAGATCTTCTTCCTGTATTTTCAGGCTTACATACACTCGAATTATCAGAAATTACGTGCTGTTGTTACCTTACGTATTGTTACGTTTATATACGTCAAGTTCATTGAACCAAAAGTCAATTTGCTCATACATATTTTAACGTACGTAAAAATATACCGGTTGATTGTCCTATTGGCGCAGTTATTATGAATAAAATCATTCAGAAGATATTATTTTAATAATAATACCACACAAACCTTTTTTGTTTTAAGACATAATGCAAATTCCGATAAGCGCGTGCGATTTTTTTTCTTCTATTTTTTAGCCATATCTTATTCGTATTTTTTTTTTTTATATATAGTTTGCTTAAATTGAAAATTGTAAAATTCGTAAAAATATTATTATTGGACATCAAAATCCACTTTGTTCAAATATGGCTTGTGTGTTTTTTTCTTAAATTTTAAAAGATCTCAAGTTGCATGATTATGCAGAAACAATTCTCATAACCGCGATATTTATGAGACACTTCATACTTCATCTCTCCTGGACGTTTAACGATGAAAGCAACTTCATTCGCCTGGCTGGCTACCAAACTCGCTCAAGTAGTGAAATAATAGAGACAAATTATGCCACTTGCAGTAGACTTGACATTGGCACCAAGATTTAAATCGAGATCGAGACCATTTGAGATCGTTGCCATTGGCATTGATAAAAGCCGACATTAGTATTCGGGTCATCATGCGGTTTTCTCGCACTCACGCGTACGAGATACGCGTTATTTGGATGGGCCGGCTCCATCTGTTTTCCCAGCTTGCGCAATTTACAGCAACAGGTTGCAAGGAGAACACACCCGGACATAAATCGTTTGATCGTCGCGTAATTTGATTTATCGAATATTGAATGAAATATCGAAGTACCCGTTCAATAAATATTGTCGGCGCCATATGACGCGGCTCCAGTCTTGAGAACATTTGGCAAATCTCGTTCGTCACGATTGAGTAACGTCGAAAGTGGTATCGACGAATAAGTAGAAACCACTTTTTTTTCGCCGAGTTTCATTCTTCGTGTCGTCGACTAACACTACAGAACCACAGCTTGGGTGCGACATGAGAAAAATACTATCTCCTTCGCGGTTTAATTGTAGGGGCGAAATAGCGGATTAAATGAAACAGTAATGGAGCTACAAGACCAAAGCGAGCGTATCTTATCCACTCTAATCCTAATTAAGGCGACGCATCCGTTGCGATGGGAGAGCGCTTCTTTCGGACGAGTGTTTAAGTCGGACGCTTCCACGAGTTTCAATGCAAATCTCTCTGCTGCTTGAAACGTCTATCACCATGCTTGGTTTATCTTTAACCATGAACATATGCGCTAGGTGTCTGCCAGTCTTCGAAGATACTCTTCAATGATATATAACTCGATCTATCAATTGTCGCGATATTAATCTTCTTTAATATGACAGCGCTTTAATAATATATATAGAGGGAACAGTCTTGCTGAAGTATTAAAAAAAATTTAGCTAAATGCAAATCTAAATATAATTTTGTTGGATCATTAAAATAATTATATGTCTGGAACGCTTAAGCGTTGATGGCAATGCTGCTAAATACTGGAAAAATTTTAATATTCTAGCAACTAGTTTCAGCATCCTATATAATTATTTTCCTTCTGTCAATGCATAACATTTATCTTTTCGCTAAAGATGCAGAACTATTTTTTGTTGTTCACGAATAAAATTCGCACAAAAGTATAAACATTTTTACTGTTTACTATATAAAGGATGGGAGTTATTTTTAAAATCTTACAACTTTTTTTTTTAGTAATATTTGTTATAATTCACACATTATTTGACTCAAAATATCATATAACACTATTTCAGCGCCACTATAGCTTTTTTGTTTTGTAAAGATTAAAATTCGATATGAATATCCAAGCATCGGCAGAAAGAACAATTTTGATAGTCCAAACAAAATCATTTTTAAACCCGTATCTAGCTAAATTATTAAATACTTCAACTGTTAAAATATCTCTTCATCATTCTTTCCCGTGTAATGTCGCTTTCTACCGATTTATATAAATTAACTTTAATCTCAATTCAACTAACTCTTCATCTTTCTCTTACAAGTAGACTTACGGAGGTGTCACTCACCGATTTTAATGAAACTTTGCAAATTTGTAGAACTATGAAAAATATCTGACATGAATTCTTTTTTTATCGGCAAAGGTCCACTCTGAAGGGTGAAAACTTATAAGGTAAGGGATAGTTTTCACCCTTCAGAATGGACCTTTGCCAATAAAAAAAATACGTGTCAAATATTTTTCGTAGTTCTATAAATTTACAAAGTTTCATCAAAATCAATGAGTGACACCTTCGTAGGTTTACTTGTTAGAACTGAAGAAAGGTGAGGAGTACGATGAATTGAGATTAAAGTTAATCTACATTACAGTAATGAGATGGATTTGTTTATAAAATGCAATTTTCCACGCAATCGGCTTACCCGTACAGTTTTCGCTTTCGTTGGAACGTGTCGGCTTACGGTCATCGTCGCTGAGCTAGCATCTTGTAAGTACCTAGGATGAGCACGTTTGGTGAGGTCCTCGGAAGCGCTACGCTCCTCGCCGCGTGTTAAAGTCGTAGTCTTGCGGACGATGCGAGTGACGATGCGTTTCGTGCCATTCTCACCGCGTCTCGACGTTTTCGTCGATTCGATCGACGAACCTAAGCAACGCGACCGAGCGATATAGAATATTGATCGAGAAGAGAACCGTTGATTCGAGCAACGGTTCTGTCGGATCGAAAAGGATTCGTCTAACGATGCACTTTGAAAATTGTGCTATTAAGTATCGCTGTAAACGTCTACGTCTAATTGCTGTTTTCTTCACAAGCGCTCCAAGATATTGTCTATACACATGTGTCTTATTACCAGCAAAGAAACATTAGCCATTTAACTTTGCAGAATACGGCAAACTGCAACTGAATTTAGTACGACTGAGGTGGAAGTCTCTTTAAGTCACGATGACGCAACAGTTTATTATACCTCGCTGAGAAAGGACAACTGGAGAAACACTTGCAGGAAAATCGTTGTATGCAGTGGGTATATTGATGCCAATGATACCGGCACTATTAAAACTCAAAATCGACGGCGTATAATTATTGTAAGTAATTTCTTAGGTTATGGATTACATATTCTATTACATAAGACTGTTTGATTATTTTCTTATCTCTGGGAGACATGAATTATAGTTATAGAGACACGTGAGAGACAGTTTCGCAATTGCTCATTGTTTTCGTAAAGACCAACTAACCGAAGATTACAATCTCCCCCTCGGAGAGATTAGTTTTCAGCTAATTGATAATTAGTATTCACAAAATCGTCGCGACTCCTCGGCAGTCAACACATAAGTATCTCCTGTCAACTTTTATAGGTGTAAAAATTTCTAGAGATTTCAAGCAGCACGAACGGATCTAAGCAATCTTATGCTCTCAGACTAAGAGTGCAATTCACTTAACTTCGCAAATGCTTCGAAGCATTAAGTAGATTCTAGAGTTTAAGATTGGATTCAAATTTAAGCAATTGAAGTAAAGTTGAAATTGATTTTCTTTCTTCTAATTAGTTAAATTCCAATCCAATCTTATAATAAATTGGGTCATTTGCATTAGACTAGATTAGTACAAACTAAGTAAAAACTATTGTACTGTACATTAAATTAGCAAAATTAAATGTAAAAGCATATAAATATTTTAAAGAATTAAATGCCTAGTAATATTGTTCCGTTATTTTTTTAACAGATTATACATATATATTTTATTGACAAAAGTTTACATTATGCCACTATATTTAGATGCTTTATACAAAGCAATCTTATGTACTACTCCAGTATAGTGCGAATAACCAAATTTAACCTGAATTTCTAGTATGATATGAATTTTACATTAGTGAATAATAAGTTCAAGTAACCGAATTTTTCCTAATAACACAGTTAACGTTCATTTGTATTTAAGTGCTCTCCAACAACGTATATAGGCGCCGCTCCACAGAAAGAACAATTTTGTCGAAGTGTCTAAAAATTTAGTTACACAGAAGTCTGAGAATATAACTTTGGTAGACCATCAGAACAGCCACGTAGGAATTTCAAGTATGAATAATGTCGCAAAAAGATATTCTATTAATGTTTGAACGTTCTACGTACAATAATTATTTTGATGGTACAACAAAATTACTATCAGGTCTGTTATATCTAGCTAGATTTTTAAATATTTCAGCAAAACCGTCCTTTCAGTGTATGTAGCGTCAACTTCTACCTCGTGCAATCGTCAGAGCAGACCACTCTCTCCTAACGACCCGAAGCGCTTCTCCGACAGCACAAGCACGATCGTCAGAGCGAATCCTTTCCCTCCTATCTTCCCCGATTTCGATTTACTACCTAAGACCTCGGTCGACAATCGGCGTTTCGTGTATATAGCTCGCAGATCATCGGCGGATCGCGATCCCGTTGGGCTAGGTGAAACGCCATCACGACCGTCGTCCTCACTCGTGCCTTGTACGAACAACCTGCCCCCTTTGCTGAACCGATAGAGCGACATTTTCGTGGATCACTAAGCGCGTATCGCACACGTGCGTATCGCCTTTTTCTCCTTCCCGCTCTCCTGTTGACGATCTCTCTCGAACGTTCAAACCACGACTCGTCCGCGAACTGCAACGTTTGTCCATTTACATATGTGATAATGTGACACACCGCGTCGCTGTGCGTACACCAAACTGCTTCGCTCTGCTCGTATTTTCCTTGAGAATACTACGACTTGCATCGCATATTCAATTCGCGGCGCACGTTTAAGAATATTATATGTAGTTTTTAACAAAATGAAAAACTTAAAAACTTACACGTTTGTCAGTACTGTATTTGAAAGTAATTTGAAAAGTTCGACGGCAATTTGGGATTTGAATTAAAAAGTATTTGAAGAAGTAGACAGTAGAAGTTTTTAAAAAAAATATATGATTAAGGTAAAATAAAACAATTTATGATTTCAACTATAAACTACTATTAAATATATGTACTACTGTTAAATATAAATATTGACGTCATTGAATTGTTAAAACATTATTTTTTATACGGAAAGTAATTTTTAATTTTAGTCACTTTTTACAAAGACTACATATTTGATACATTCTATAGATTGAAATCTACCGACTATTCCGTATTTGATCAACACGAGAATTTGGTTTCAATGTAAACATCATATAACAATATTTAATGTCATAAATGAAAATTATGGTCTCGTATATTTAACGCTAATTATAAGTATGATCATGTGATTTATCAGTGAGCTTGTTTCTCCAATGTAATTACAAGGTTCTATGATGAAACCTTCCACTATGTAAGATTCAACGTGAACCAAAACCACGAAGATCAAAGCTGTTGTAATTAAACGTGGGACGAGAATTAAGATTGATAACATTTTGACGTTTCACGGAATCAAGGAAAGATCGGCGATACAGTCGCCTGCCTTGCACCGGAAGGTTCCGAGCTACAATTGTTTCAACGTGCTTTTATGCTTTTATACTCTTTATTGGTTAAAAGACCATCTGGATCTCTCCGGACTATTTAGTTGCGAAAATCTATTCGCGGCCGCTTGTGGCCTCTGATGGTGCTTCTCCAGTAATTCCGACGGAGTGAAACACCGCGCTAACTGTAGCTCGTTCACGCCGGTACGTTAACCAGAGCCAGACGCCGGTCGCAAAGCGGAACCGCGCCGGTTAAAGGCAGCACAGAGCAAGCTGTTGGATGCGAGAACATTTGCGTGAATGCATTTGCAGCAGCGTGCGGCGAGAAATGTTGTGACAGCTCGCTCTTGTCAACACGCACTCGACGACGTAGTGGTCACCATCGCGACGACTGACGGACAATATTTCCTGGATTTCGACGTCGCGCGAACTGACAGCCGGACTCCGACCGCGTACGACGCGATCGCGAGCACTAATGAGGATGAGGAACGACGGCGACGATCGGGACTGATGATTTAACTGACGACGGACGAGCAAACTATGCGCGACACGATCGCCGGACGATCGCCGCGTAGCATCCGGCCGTCGTGGCGAGAGTAGGCCAACGAAATGCGCACAGGTGAGAGACGTTTCCCCCTCTTGCACTCTTCTGTTTCCCCTTCTACCGTCAACCACCCACCTGGCGTTAACCTCGCGCTTCGCCGCACCTCGTCGCGACGCGCTATGTACGGTGCGATGTTTTAATGACGTATCCCCTCCTTTTCCTCTCACTGATTCAGAAAAATTGCATTTATGTTTCCGTTCATCTTTAGATCTTCAGGCTAAATTGTTCCAGTTAAGAGATTTTGTTTAAGTCCAATTTTTTTTATATTATATTTTCTGAATAATATTTTCTTAACTTGTGATGATTACATAAATATTGTGATTTTTTAGTTAATTGATCATTAAACTGATGATTTTGTAGTAGTAACTTTAAAACCTAATTTTTCATTTTCTGTAACTTGTAGTTAGACCCGAAAATTAAGTATGTAAAAATTTGTCTTCTTATAGCCATAATGGTTTTGTAGTGATAACCTTAAAAAATTATCACTAAAAAGCCATTTACCTAGAAAAACACAATTTTTACATAATCATTAGGTTAAGTCTAACCACAACAAGTTAACCAGAAAAAAAATGAAAAACCAGGCCTTAAAATTACTATTATAAAATCACCAGTTCAGTGACTAATCATAGCTAGAAAAATACAATATTTACATTATGATCAAGTTAAACAAGATTACGTCTAAACTACAAATGATGGAAAAAATGAAAATTCAAGCTTTTATTTCTATTAATTTCTGCATTCTCTTTTATCCAGTCATTTCCGATAACTTTGAAAAGTCTCTTGCGTCAATGTGCATTATATTTTCCCACTACATTTCCTCAAAGGAGCGAAAGGTAGAGTTCACGGAATGGATCATTGATGCGCTCCGCTGTAAATCGCGAGCTGCGATCGATCGCGCATGCGTCCTTGGATCGATCGACTTCGCACGCCGGTGGGGTCCGATATTACGATCGGTGGAGACCCCACGAGGAGGCTTCTTCCTCCTCCACCACCGGACATCGTCGTCGTCGCGCGTCCTTCCTCCTTTTCCTTTTCTAGAGATTTTGCGTTTCGCCGGCGCGCGCGCGCGGGAGTACACATATAATACTTGTCCATATCTTAATGCGCGTCCCACGACATTCCGTTCGTCAGGGTCTCGAACGGTACCGTGCATAATTCACGCGTGAGCGGTGGCGTATGGTTATCGTGATATCAAGGTCATACTACGATCGGACTCGCGACCTTGGTAAAGGCCGAGATTCCTCGAACGGGCCTAAAAAGGATGTGGAGCAATGCAGCATTTTAGTGACGTCATTGGCAACTCGCATTTCGGTTTCGGACGAAATTGATAAGAGTGCAGAGATAAGCGCTGCGATGATAACGATAAGAGAACAACAAGAGAGAAACAAGATGAGAATGTTCGCAAGATTGGATACTGTATGCATACGAAATACAAAGAAATAAATATGAATTAAAAAATACAACTATAAAATATAATCTATGCTTTAATGATAGTTTCTGCAAAGTGACTCGAATTAGAAATTTACACTTTTCATACAAAACAAAATGTAGGTATACATAATACATACGAAACAATTCAATAAAGTCAATATTTATATTTAAAAATACAATTTTATAATTTAAATGAAAATTTCTCATTTTATCTTAATTATTTTTAAAAAGCATGTATATTTCCCTTATATAAAAATAATTTTTTTATTATTTTTAAATAAAATCTAGAAGAATCTAACTTTTGTTTTGTTAAAACGTATAATACGTCCTTAATATAATTTCAGTTTTAAATTAACAAAACATAAATACTAAAAAATAAAAATACACTGGATTTTGCTAATTATTTGCATAATCTTTTAGAAATTCCAGGAGACTAAATTGTAAACTGATGTATTAATGTCTGTATAAATATTCCAGAAATATGCGGAAACAGAATTTGCTCCTATGAGATATCATTTGCATCTACATTAATAATACGTAGGACTTCTAACGAATAAACAATCTCCTCGTTTGTGGAATGACGTGGGTCCGGTTTGGGCCGTGTATTCTGAGTCCGACACCGATTATAAATATTTAGAAATGTAAGCGAGCGAGGTCTTCATGTTAATGAGCTGTTTGCGAGCTGAAATGTCACGCAACGCAGATCGTAAATCGACATGGAAACGAGTATCGATACGCTTTTGATTCTCGTGGACCAAACGTGGTAGCGTCGATCCGAATGAGATAATTATATAGCACGATCCTTTTATGCTGCTCGAGGGCGATCGAGATAATAGAATGATGGAAAATCGATGTCGTAACCGCCGTCAGCGAAAAATAAATTACTTCCATGATAATTTGCTTCCTCGTTAATAGCATTTTCAAACGTTACGATGTATGTACGGGAGACTAAGAAGACTTCGATGCTATCATGCAATTTGCCGACGATGTTATTTCAGAACAAATTGCGATCATACGTCACACCGTGCTGTCTTCTATAGAATGCTATAAAAACATTTAGAGTACAAATAACGGGAAGGAAAAGCGACCTACTTGCGGCTTTTCATTCTTTCTTTGCACTCCTGCGGAGTGCACCCTGTATCCGTCCAAAGATACACATAAATTGCGAATAGTGAAATAGATCGTGAAAGTATGTACTAGATGCCTAAATCTACAGCATTTACGTCAAGCCTTTAGATATTCATTTGTTACTAGACATTTGACAGTTTAATCAAAACGATTAAAAATAAATAAGGAAGCGAGGGTAAGAATTCTCAGACGGTGAAGTGCACCGGACGATGCCGACCGATATGGCACACAATATCGTGCCTTCATTGCAAGTTCATACGCGTGCCAGCACTTAGAGAAACAGGCCGATGGTTAACGAGTCCTCGGAAAAAAAAAAGACCTAAGAGAAAATGAAAGACGTCAGCAAACAAAGGAGCTTAATGTGCGGAAAAACGATGAAAATAAAGTTGTGCTTTCATGATAATAATAGTAGCAAAATATCTTAACGCTTGCAGTCTATTAAATTTCGTTTTACAATAAGAGAAATGTGTGCTTTTATATATTATTAACTTTTAATCCTTCTATTAATCTTTAGAGCTTAATCTACAATTACGTGAAAGTAGTTACAAGTGATTGTCGTAAGAATTGACCAAATACAATCAAACATTCTCTTCATATTCGACTGTGATTGATCAATCTTACAACTACAACCACTTATAACTACATTAGTTTATCGATCGTATTTCTGAGGAATTATAATATCTTTAGCCACGTTAAGAATCATTGCGATGTACATACTACGCTAATTAAATCGCGGGTGCAGATATCGCAGTCGGTGGCGCTGAGCTTAAGCTAACTGCATGCCGAGATCACCAGGCGGATATGAAGTCATCGCACCCGAGGCTACTTGATTCGCTCCGTTGTGGCTTCCGCTGTCGTGGGTACGCTAATTCGTTGCCTTTGGTGCGAAGACGGAATACAATCCAGTCGCTGTAACGCACGCGTTATATCGCGCACTAGAACGTACGGTGATCTCTTTCGTACAATGGTAAAGAAAT